AAAAAAACGGAAATAGTTTTGAAATGCCCTACTGAACACAATCTTGGTGGTCTAATGTCAACCCCTAGCGGCTACCTTTTTGGTATTTGGGGATCCAGTCCTTGAGTAACTCCAGCAGTCCACGTTTTTATTCTAGCCCCGGACAAGCACACCTGATTCAACTTGTCAACTAATCATCAAGCCCTCCATGAGTTGAATCAGCTATGTTTGTCCTGGGCTACAACAAAAATGTGTACTGTTGGGGATCCACACGGACTGGAGTTGAGACACCTGGTATAAGGCACATGGTGATAACCAATAAGGAGCTTTCACCATATTATTTTAAAACTGGGCTACTATATTGGAGGACAATAATTGATCCAACTGCATCATCATCATCATCATCATCATCATCATCATCAGATCATGAGATTCCATGGAGCTCAGGCCAGCTCTGGGAGGTGTCTCTCTCTTTGTAGCCCAGCATGAGTCACCACAGCTGGGCTGAGGCCCAGAGATAAACCCCTAAATCCAGCCTGGATCCTCCTCATGCCCACAGAGCCTCCATTAGCCTCCCAGATCAGATTAAAGGACATTAACACGGAGACCAGGCTGCTGCCAACACAACACAGCCATTTACACCCTAAAACCCTGAAACACTCTTAGCTCAATGTTATTGGATTAGATATACATTTGTCCTTGGACAGGGAATATGTTTCAAGTCTTTCCTTTATCTCTGAATACTCTCTTTGAAAAATTTTCAGTTAAGGAATACAGTGCTCTGTGCATCCTTTGGTATGTATCTTTCTTATTCATACAGAGTTACAGTACACCATACAGACTCAGTCACCACTCCTACTAGTCATCAACATACATATCAAATGATATTGTCTGCCATACATATTCTGCTGTCTGGTGGTCTGTGTGAGTAGGGACTCTCCCGTACCTCTGTGTCCATGATGGTGCACTCCGTCTGGGGCTGTGGCTCCTCCGCACTCAGCCTGGGAACAGGGATGACATCCACCTCCTCAGCTCTGTAGCTGATCTCCTCCACTACAGTGATTTCCATCTCCAGCTCCACCAATGCAGCCTCGTCAATATCTAGCGCCTCTTCCGAAGACACTGCAGTCCTCTCTCTGACTAGTTCTTCAGCTGCAGCTCTAGCCCTCTCCAATTCTTCTGCAGCTGCTGCCACTGCGGTCCGGTCTCTCTCCAGCTCCAATTCTGCAGCCCTGTCCATCTCCAACTCCTCGTCTCCAGCCATAGCAGTCCTGGCCATCTCCTGCTCCACCACTGCAGCCACCTCAGTCATGTCTCTCTCCAGCTTTTCTATGGCAGCTCGACCCTTCTCCATTTCTTCTTCTGCAGCTGCTGCAGCCCTGTCTCTCTCCAGCTCCAGTTCTGCACCTCTGTCTCTCTCCAACTCCACGGCTGCAGTCCTGTCCCTCTCCAGCTGCTCTGTAACTCGGTCTCTGACCTCCTCCAGGTCTTGCAGTGCTGCCTCCAGCTCCCGGGTGTCTGTGTAGACTGCCTCCTCCCGCCTGACCTGTAGCACACACAAGCCAAATGAATAACTCAGTTTTACAGTGTGTACACAACCACACTCAACTCTGTGAAACAAGGTTTATCAACACACACACACAGACAGACACCCCCCCCCCCCCCCCCCCCAGCTTCCTCTGTTGTCATGTACACATCAAGTCCTATCAAACACACACACCAAACAGAGGAGGACTTACCTGTGTAATGAAGGGGTTCTCCTTGGAGAAGGATGGAGAGCGTGAGGGGGAAACAGTGCTGCTACTTCTCTTCTTGTCCCTGAGCGTGGCCTGCTGGTGTCTCCTGATCCTCTCCAGCTGCTCCTCTACACTCATCCTGGCTCTGCCGCTCTCCCTCTCCCCTGGTCTGCACGTCTGCTCCACCGCACTGTGAGGACGGTCCTACAGGGGGAGCAGTGGAGCAGGGATCAGTCACGTTGGATTATTATTACACCAAGTATGTTTTCTTCTGCCTGTCTATTGGTGACATACAGTGGGGGAAAAAAGTATTTAGTCAGCCACCAATTGTGCAAGTTCTCCCACTTAAAAAGATGAGAGGCCTGTAATTTTCATCATAGGTACACATCAACTATGACAGACAAAATGAGGAAAATAAATCCAGAAAATCACATTGTAGGATTTTTTATGAATTTAATGGCAAATTATGGTGGAAAATAAGTATTTGGTCAATAACAAAAGTTTCTCAATACTTTGTTATATACCCTTTGTTGGCAATGACACAGGTCAAACGTTTTCTGTAAGTCTTCACAAGGTTTTCACATACTGTTGCTGGTATTTTGGCCCATTGCCCCATGCAGATCTCCTCTAGAGCAGTGATGTTTTGGGGCTGTCGCTGGGCAACACGGACTTTCAACTCCCTCCAAAGATTTTCTATGGGGTTGAGATCTGGAGACTGGCTAGGCCACTCCAGGACCTTGAAATGATTCTTACGAAGCCACTCCTTCGTTGCCCGGGCGGTGTGTTTGGGATCATTGTCATGCTGAAAGACCCAGCCACGTTTCATCTTCAATGCCCTTGCTGATGGAAGGAGGTTTTCACTCAAAATCTCACGATACATGGCCCCATTCATTCTTTCCTTTACACGGATCAGTCGTCCTGGTCCCTTTGCAGAAAAACAGCCCCAAAGCATGATGTTTCCACCCCCATGCTTCACAGTAGGTATGGTGTTCTTTGGATGCAACTCAGCATTCTTTGTCCTCCAAACACGACGAGTTGAGTTTTTACCAAAAAGTTCTATTTTGGTTTCATCTGACCATATGACATTCTCCCAATCCTCTTCTGGATCATCCAAATGCACTCTAGTAGTGTGTTACCCTGATGGTAGGCTTTGTTACTTTGGTCCCAGCTCTCTGCAGGTCATTCACTAGGTCCCCCCGTGTGGTTCTGGGATTTTTGCTCACCGTTCTTGTGATCATTTTGACCCCACGGGGTGAGATCTTGCGTGGAGCCCCAGATCGAGGGAGATTATCAGTGGTCTTGTATGTCTTCCATTTCCTAATAATTGCTCCCACAGTTGATTTCTTCAAACCAAGCTGCTTACCTATTGCAGATTTAGTCTTCCCAGCCTGGTGCAGGTCTACAATTTTGTTTCTGGTGTCCTTTGACAGCTCTTTGGTCTTGGCCATAGTGGAGTTTGGAGTGTGACTGTTTGAGGTTGTGGGCAGGTGTCTTTTATACTGATAACAAGTTCAAACAGGTGCCATTAATACAGGTAATGAGTGGAGGAGAGAGGAGCCTCTTAAAGAAGAAGTTACAGGTCTGTGAGAGCCAGAAATCTTGCTTGTTTGTAGGTGACCAAATACTTATTTTCCACCATAATTTGCAAATAAATTCATTAAAAATCCTACAATGTGATTTTCTGGAAAAAATTCTCTCAATTTGTCTGTCATAGTTGACGTGTACCTATGATGAAAATTACAGGCCTCTCTCATCTTTTTAAGTGGGAGAACTTGCACAATTGGTGGCTGACTAAATACTTTTTTCCCCCACTGTATTCTGTCCATCTCCAGCGCTTGCAGTGGTCAAAATGGCAGGGAATGAATAGTAACAGCAGCACTTCCGAATCCAAAATTAGTGCTGTCCTGTCTATCAAAAAAAACGTTTCTAATATGTCTAGATACAGTATATAGCTCAGTTCCCCTGCTATTCCCTAAAGTGCTGAGTCAGACTTACAGTCCTGGGGTCAGGCTTCTTGCTTTTCCTCAGGGTGACGTAGGAGGCTATGGTGCAGGACTCTGGGGGGCTCATGGGGGATTTGGTCCTGGGGGGCACGATACCCACTGGGTAGACTGGTACTCCTAATGGGACTGGGAGGGATGAGGGACTAGGTCAGTTACAAAGCCATTAGAGGTGTTACATTTTTTACATTCAGTTTATAAAGTACTTAGAAACCCTTTTTAAATCATACTTATAATACTCTTTATAAGTATACCTTGTATGTGTTAACATTTGGAATTTCTAATTACTTCTTGAATTCCCCCTCAGGAGACTAAAAAGATTTGGCATGGGTCCTCAGATCCTCAAAAAATTCTACAGCTGCACCATCGAGAGCATCCTGACTGGTTGCATCACCGCCTGGTATGGCAACTGCTTGGCCTCTGACCGCAAGGCACTACAGAGGGTAGTGCGTACGGCCCAATACATCACTGGGGCAAAGCTTCCTGCCATCCAGGACCTCTATACCAGGCGGTGTCAGAGGAAGGCCCTCAAAATTGTCAAAGACTCCAGCCACCCTAGTCATAGACTGTTCTCTCTGCTACCGCACGGCAAGCGGTACCGGAGTGCCAAGTCTAGGTCCAAAAGACTTCTCAACAGCTTCTACCCCCAAGCCATGGCATATATTATTATTTATTATTATAAGACTCCTGAACAGCTAATCATGGCTACCCGGACTATTTGCACTGCCCCCCCACCCCATCCTTTTTACGCTGCTGCTACTCTGTTAAGTATTTATGCATAGTCACTTTAACTCTACCCACATGTACATATTACCTCAACTACCTCAACTAGCCGGTGCCCCCGCACATTGACTCTGCAACGGTACCCCCCTGTATATATAGCCTCCCTACTGTCATTTTATTTTACTTCTGCTCTTTTTTTCTCAACACTTTTTTTTGTTGTTGTTTTATTCTTACTTTTTTTGTTTAAAATAAATGCACTGTTGGTTAAGGGCTGTAAGTAAGCATTTCACTGTAATGTCTGCACCTGTTGTATTCGGCGCATGTGACCAATAAAATTTGATTTGATTTGATTTGATTTGAATTCACTGAATTACAATGGTTTTAACCCTAGCCTGTATCCAGCTTGAAACAGCGGTGGCAGCGTGACCAAACTGGACAGTGTTGACAGACAGCGACTGACCTTTAGTGGCCGCAGGCTCCTTGTCAGTGGTCAGCTCTGTTTGTAGTCTGTCCTTGTCATTGTCCTCTAAATTGTTATCATCCACCTCCTCAGCTACAGTGGTCAGCTCTGGTTCACTCTTATACAAACGGTAGTCTGGACCTTGCTGTAGAGGGACAGGGAGTCAGCATACTGAGAGGTACACACATAGGAAACACACACAGGCACGTGCGCATGTGCACGCCCGCCCGCACACACGCAGTTCACAAAGTGGTCACGATGGATGTGACCTATGGATAGTCGAGGGAAATTTAAAAGCAGAAAACGTTTAAACTGAAATCTCCAAACATTAAGAGTAGTCACACCGCAGCACAGCACAGCACTCAGACACAGTCAGAATGACAACTGGGATGGAATCACACACGCTTCCATGGAAACAAGAACAAGCCAAACCGAAGAACAAACTGATGATAAACCAAAGGAATGAACACGTCAAACTCAACACTCCAGGGTAAGAGGCAGGGAAAAATCGGAATGTCTACAAATGGTAAAACAAATGACAAATGGTTCAGAGCAAATGAAAATAGTCACAACGGTGAACCAAGTTGGCGATGAGAGATGAACCATGTATGGTGAGGGTAAAGGTGGAGGGTCAGGGGTCAACTTGTACTGGTATTGTACAGAGTAGGATGAAGTTGCCCCTAGACAATGACCTAAGATCAGTTTTGTATTACCTCGCCCTAACGGTTAAGATTAGAATTGGGTGAGGGTAAACTGATCCTAGATCAGTGCTTAAGGGCAAGTAGCGATGATGAAGCACGAGGACAGGGGTGAGGGGTCAGCGTGTCTTACACTGCTGTGTGTTCCGTTCCTCTGACTGGGCTTGCTTGTGTGTGGGGGCGGACGGGCGCCCGAGAGGGAGGGAAGGGGGGGTACAGCGGGAGGGCGCTCTGTTGAGCCGTAGGACTGGGGGAGGGGCGGGCGGGGGGGCTGACGGTCACCCTCCAGGAGAGGACAGAGTGACCGGAACAAGGTCACCGGCTGCCGCATGAGGAGAGGATAGATAGAAAGTTGTTGTTGAAACACCGCTGGGACAACAGTATGCCACACCAGACCCTGCTTAGACAGATCAGCACAGCCTCCTGTGGCATTGAGTGGAGTTATCTGCCTCACATCCGTTTCACATGTAGGCTGCGGACAGCTCTAAATCAGTTCACAAAGACTCCATGCACAGATTATGACTATATACAGTATTTATCTGGTGTTTACATTTTCTGATGTTTTTCTTTGTCCACACAGTAGAAGTGAGACTCACCTCGTTCTTCTGTAGGTTTGAGATGGGTTTGGAACCAAGGAAACCAGTGTCAGTGGTCCTCTGGGGTTTGTTCTTGGCCAGAGCCTCCATCACATCTTGGATCCTCCACAGCTCCTTTTGGATCTGGACATGCTGCTGGCTGGGAGGCTCTGTCTGCTCACCCAGTGACAAACAATGCTTAAAAACACTCTCCATCTTGAAATGTGTGTTTGCATGTGTGTGAGTGGTTGAGAGAGAGAGAGCGAGAGAGACACAGAGAGACTGAGAGAGAGAGACACAGAGAGACAGAGAGAGAGACAGAGAGAGAGATAGACACAGAGAGAGAGAGAGATATAGAGAGAGAGAGAGAGAGACACAGAGAGAGAGAGAGAGAGAGAAGAGACAGAGAGAGAGAGAGAGAGAGAGAGAGGGACAGAGACAGAGAGAGAGACAGAGAGAGAGACAGAGAGAAGAGAAGAGACACAGAAGAGAGAGAAACAAGAGAGACAGAGAGAGAAGAGACACGAGATGAGAGAGACACAGAGAGAAGATAGAGATAGGATAGAGAGAACACCGCCTCGCTCTAGAGAGGAGAGACCGATACGAGCGATATCTAGGACATAGAGAGAGAAAACATAGTGGGCTGCTAAAGACAGGAGCGATACACCGCTCTAGAGAGACACCGCCCTCTCTCTCTTCCTCTCCGAGACAGACACGAGGAGAGGAGAGGACAGAGAGAGAGATAGAAAACACAGAGAGAGAGACAAAGAGAGAGAGAGAGACAGAGAGGAGACTAGAGAGGGACAAGAGAGAGGATAAGAGAGAGAGATTAGAGAGACCGAGAGAGAGAGAGAGAGAGGAGAGAGTCTTACCTGTGGGCTGCCCAGGGCCTCTAGCTGTTCCAACAGGTTGGTTTTGGCCAGAGAGACGCCAGACTCCATTTTATCATACTCCCTCCACGACCGCTCCAACTCCTGAGGGACGAGAGGGTGTCACTTCTAGACAGCCTGTGTGTGTGCACTGACTCACAGCATTTATCCTGGAGAGATCTTGACAGGTACTGATCAGTGTGTGTGTGGACATCTGCATGTACAGTGTGTGTGTATAAACATGAACTCACAGTGTTGACTCGTGATAGTTCTCTACAGGTACTGAGCAGTCCATTCTGCAGTACGTCTCTCTGCTGTATAAGGCTCTGTACGGCTGGTGGGTTGTCAGAGCTCTGCTCTATCTCCTGACTGGCAGACAGCAACGCCGTCTCCAGGGTGTGCTGCAGAGAGATAGGAGGAAGAAGAAGAAGAAGAAGACACAGGTCAGCACAACATCTACAGCTAACATTTGTCAGACAACTACACACAGACACAAACAGACCATAGGCAAAGAACCAACCACCCCCATTAGCATAGCATCGCCATCATCAAAGGGTGTACCGCCACTCCCATGACCCTAGGGGGCAGGCTAGGGCTGCTGTCAGAGGGAGAGAGGCTTTGGGGAAGTCTCAGTTCTCAGCTGTGAGTCTGCTAGCTAGTCTATACACTGTGTACCTGTGGTACAAGCCTGGCAGAGGAGGGTTGGTAGCCTTGGAGTGACCATGAGATCCATGATATATAGTGCCTTCAGAAATAATTCATACCCCTTGACTTATTCCATATTTGTTGTGTTACAGCCTGAATTCAAAATGGATAATAATTTTTAAAAATGTCTCACCCATCTACACACAATACCCAATAATGACAAAGTGAAAACATGTTTTTAGAAATTTTAGCAAATTTGTTGAAAATGAAATACAGAAATATCTCATTTACATAAGTATTCACACTCCTGAGTCAATACTTTTTAAAAGCACATTTGGCAGCGATTACATTTACATTTACATTTTAGTCATTTAGCAGACGCTCTTATCCAGAGCGACTTACAGTTAGTGAATACATTTTTATATATATATATATTTTTTTTTATACTGGCCCCCCGTGGGAATCGAACCCACAACCCTGGCGCCATGCTCTATCAACTGAGCTACATCCCTGCCGGCCATTCCCTCCCCTACCCTGGACGACGCTGGGCCAAATGGGTCTCCCGGTCGCGGCCGGCTACGACAGAGCCTGGAATCTAACCAGGATCTCTAGTGGCACAGCTAGCACAGCGATGCAGTGCCTTATACCACTGCGCCACTCAACAGCTGTGAGTCTTTCTGGGTACGTCTCTAAGAGCTTTCCACACCTGGATTGTGCCACATTTGCCCATTATATATTTTTTTATTCTTCAAGCTCTTTCAAATTGGTTGTTGATCATTGCTAGACAACCATTTTCAGGTCTTGCAATAGATTTTCAAGCAGATTATAGTCAAAAACTGTAACTCGGCCACTCAGGAACATTCACAGTCTTCTTGGTAAGCAACTCCAGTATAGATTTGGCCTTGTGTTTTAAGTTATTGTCCTGCTGAAAGGTGAATTCATCTCCCAGTGTCTGGTGAAAAGCAGACTGAACCAGGTTTTCCTCTAGGATTTTGCCTGTGCTTAGCTCCATTACGTTCATTTCTTATCCTGGAAAAACTGCTCAGTCCTTAATGATTACAAGCATACCCATAACATGATGCAGCCACCACTATGCTTGGAAATATGGAGAGTGGTACTCAGTAATGTGTTGTATTGGATTTTTCCCAAACATAACACTTTGTATTCAGGACAAAAAGTGAATTGCTTTGCCACATGTTTAGCAGTACTACTTGTTGCAAACAGGATGCATGTTTTGGAATATTTGTATTCTGTACAGGCTCCCTTCTTTTCAGTCTGTCCATTAGGTTAGTATTATGGAGTAGCTACAATGTTGTTGCTCCATCCTCAGTTTTCTCCTATCACAGCCATTAAACTCTAACTCTTTTAAAGTCACCATTTGCCTCATGGTGAAATCCCTGAGCGGTTTCCTTCCTCTCCGGCAACTGAGTTAGGAAGGACGCCTGTACCTTTGTAGTGACTGGGTGTATTGATACACCATCCAAAGTGTAATAATAACTTCACCATGCTAAAGGTCTACTCCAGCCTCAGACAGCCCAGTGTGTGTTTGTGGTGTGTGTTTGTGTGAAGCAAGTTGTCAGTTGAAAGAGTGTGTACAGTAGTTACCTTCTCTCTGTGTAGTTGCTGTAGTTTCTCCTCCTGTGTTCTCACCACTCGGTCCTGCGCACACAGTCTGCTCAGCTTAGTCTGAAACACACAAAAACACACACAGTGGTTGGTAAGAAACACACACACACACACACACACACACACAGTGGTTGGTAAGAATTCTGCATTGAATTTGGATTTTTCCACCGAGCTGAGCAGTGTGGTATTCTATTAACTTAATTGAATATTTCAATCTTTGTCTAGGAAGCCAACTGCTGTGTGTCTAGACTAGAGGATACGTGCAAAGGGAAAGGAATACTTTTCCCCCTACCTAGACAAGAAAATAATAAAGCACTTGGTCTTACGTCTATGTCGATGTCCTCTGGCCTCTGGTGGCTGTAGGAGTTGTCTTTGTAGTCCTCAGGGCTGATCTGAAACACCAGACAGCCTTAGAGACACACATGATGTGTTTACACAGGCAGCCCAATTCTGATCTTCTTTTCACTAAATGGTCTATTGACCAATCAGATCAGCTCTGAAAAAGCTCTGATTTGAAAAGATCTGATGTGATTGGTCAAAAGACCAATTATTTGAAAAAATATCAGAATTGGGCTGCCTGTTGGAAGACAGCCATAGACAGGGTACTGCAAAACAACCTGTAACACAGACCCATGACGGGGTGCTTCTCAATAGTCTACTTGTCTCCTAGTTAAAGAACTGGACTGGTGAAATGACATTTCTAGTAGGTATCCACCATATTGCTTACAGCCGTCCCGTGTCTTCCGATCAGTGCAGATGAAGGAGATGACACAAGGAGAAGAGGCCACTAAAGTATTGAGATGCACTCATGGTCTGGTTATTCATTGTGATGTGGTTTTCATGGTAAATATCTGCGTCCTTATAAGAGTTGTCCAAGGGTCAATGAAGCTCAGAGAGAGAGGATGAAGTGATGGAGTTCTCCATGCAATTTCATTGACCTTCTCCTCTCATTATTTATGCCTTTACAACACTTCGGATACAACTTCTCAGGCCAAATTTCAATTTCATAATAAGGAGTGTCAGCCCCCTCTGCTGGGAAATCAGACTGTGTTTTCCACCTCGGTAGCATCACTGATAACAGTCCTACTGATGGAGGCTCCAGGGCTGTGAAGAAGCTATGAAGAGGACAGGAAGCTGGCATCAGGAGGTCACCAGAGACTAGAGGAGGATGCTCTTACACACACACAGCTTTAAGAGAGGCTAGATGACTGCTGTAGTGGTTGGCTAAGCTGGATGTATAGTCCTCTGTGCTGGCAGCTCTGCCCTGTGCCACACTAATTACTGTCCCCTCGGTGCGCTCTTCATTACTGCTGTCCCCCGGTCCACTCTGTCATGGCTGGAGCTTGACTAATGAAAACCTCTAAAAGACCTGGGCTAAATCTGGCCCTCATGGAGGCACACACATTAACGCACACATTAACGCACACAGCACACGCACGCACACACACATACCACACACCCACACACCCACACATACACACACACACACACAGCTGGGAAAACCAGCCATCCTCACTCTCCTGACTACTTCAGTTAAGGAGCAGGCAGGTGATTTTCAACCCCAGGATGGCTAAAGAGGGGGAGGTTTAAGAGAGCAGGGCTGAAGTCATACATTTAAAAGCCTGTAATAAAGTGATAATATAGCACAGTGGAAAGGCCAGACTATGGAACCCACACACTACTCCCTCGAGGACAATTTCCCCAGCTAAAAATAAAATTCCCCATGCACTCTTTGAATCACTGTTCTACTCGGGCCACCACCCAAAAAAGGAAGTGATTCTATTGAATTCATCAATAAAATGTTTTGCATTGAGCTCTTATCATACCCACATATCGACAGACTGAAAATAATATTACAAAGCACAGAGAAGAGAGGTGCTGATTTGACTGTGATCGTACAGTGCCTATCAAACATAAGATCCATCAACAACAGCAATGGTATTGCAGGAAGATGGGGTATGGCTGAAAGGTAGCATCCACCATCATACCCAACAGCAACAATACCATCAAGTTACAATGAGGTAGGATGGGCATGGCTATGTAGCATCCACCATAAGCCATGCTAACATCAGTCCAACCTCGGACTGACCAAAAAAACAAAAATGGATGAAGAGGATGTGCTGTAGTCAAAACAACACATGAAGGTACATATCAAACAATGTTGTGATCATGACACCAGGAAGAGGGGGAACCGACGACTGACTGACTGCATCCAATGTGAACAAAAACAGGAGGGATCGATGATGAAGGGAGGAGAGGAGAGCAGTGGAGGAGAAGAGTCATTGGTTTGCCAATAAGACCTTACTTGCTGGTACAGTTGAGGCCTTGGAGCAGAGTTCTCAATCATAGTGTGAATCATGAAGATTAACGGCTCATTGTCCTTCGTCTAGTGGAGATCGAAGTTAGGTAGGGTGGAAGAGAAGGGAGGAACAATACACAACAGTACAATATAGGTGTTAGTTAGTGAACACAGCAGCACAGCCTAGAAAGGATCCATAGAAATAAAGAACACAGTGTTGTCATAGTGTACTAGTGATTGAGGGAGACAGGGGCTTGAGCCAACAACCCTGTGGTTATAACTACCACCTGTGCCATAAAGGCCCAGACCTCTTAGGAGAAGTCGTAGTACGTTTACAGCACATACAAGGAGGCTACAGTTGGGTCCAAAAGACAATATTGCCAGTCCCTCTCAGCAGACGGAGGTGAGACATAACGTCCTGCTTTGCTTAATGTCATCGTTCATATCATCTCCGACCAATAACTACCAACTAATAGCAAAACAATTGCATGCATCAGAGCCTATGGACCAGGGGAACGAGCGCAGTGGCGAGTTAAAGTTCATTCATAACCGCTGTGAAATTGCCTGCCATTAGAGGTGAAAGCCTTTGAAATGGCAGATCAAATCATTTCACATTTGGTTAAGAGGGGTCACAATCAGACTCAGTGAAGTCACTAAGTGAGGTCCCCGTGTACACACGGTAGAGTGGTTTCTCCTGCTGAACATGACCTTTTCAGAAACAGGTACTCAATTATTTATCTATCGTGGAAACCCAGTTCTCAACTGGAGGGCCCATTCCAAAAATAAACGGCAACTTTAGACGTCTGCCCTGATTAGCTATGCCTGAGTAAGCATTAGTCAGAACGTTCGGTCGCTAGGCCTAGCTACTTTACCTGAAACCCCGGAGGTTGTTTCTATATAGTCTTAATTACATTATGATAATGACATGACTAACTTACTACAGGTACACATCATCAAGTTAAAAACACAACATGCCTTAAGGTTCCCTTCATCCTCAAAAGTTTAAGTTTGCTCTCGTGCTTTCTCAAGCGGGAATTCCATTTTTAAATAGTATTCTCCAGGGACTGTACGAACTATACAGCAAAGAAACATGTACGCTTATTAGCTTAGGGCAGCATTACCACGCCAAGGAAAGTCGTTAAAAAAAGTTTTAAAGTATTTTTTACTATTCTTGTACTGAGCTAGCCAATATGTCTCCCGTGGGAATGCAGGTTTGCACAGCTCCTATTATGCAGTGTACGGTATATACTTCAGGAGGGCCGGAGAGAAAAGAGTGAAAAGTAGAGAGAAAGGACAGAAAAGAGAAAAGGCAAAAAGGAGGAGACCCTGGCATTTGAGGCGCTAATAACCCTGGGCAGAGTGAGAGCAGCTGGGTGTATGACTAACCCTGAGGAGTGCCTAACCCTGAGAAACAGACAGAGTGAGAGAGAGAGAGACAGAGCAACCAGAGATAGAGCCGTACTCCTCACCTGGCTGTCCAGATACATGAGGTTCCTCTGAAGGTGATGAGACAGGACCTCACTCTAACATCACAAGGCAGCAGAAAAGAGGGAGGAGAGAAGAGTTAGACAGGAGAGAAAGAGAGAAGAAGGGAGAGAGAGAGAGAGAGAGAGAGAGAGTAAGGAAGCAGTAGGAAATAGAGGCAGAACTAGCACAGGCTGATAGTGAAAGATGGAGATGATAGAGGAAGTTGCTACTGTGGCTTTGGTATTAATCTGAAGCATGAAGCGCCATTTACTGTTGATGACTGAACTAAACCAAACCATGCAAAACCCGAAGTTGCAAGAGGATTTGTTCACCACACATCCAATCAAACTACTTACCAACACTTGCCTCGTAAAAATAATGAGAAACCACAGCAGACAACAAGCAGGCAATCACATGATACTCATACCATGCTGTCCTATGCTTGTCAACAGTTCAAAATATGAAATCAAGGCCAGATGAACGCAGCACACCAAAGGGTTGAAAGGAGTTCAAAACTAAACCAAAACTCAACCATACACCACTGAACCACACAGGTAGGAGCAAACACATAATATGCATTCACTAGAATGCATAGCCTGCTCATAGAGCCTTGAGCTGCATGGCGATGGCACATCAACGCCCACCCACCCACCCACCCACCCACCCACACCACCCCTGGAGATGACCAACCCTGGAGATGACCAATGCACCCTCCTCCCTCCTGGTGCTAACCTTGGCGTTGGGCCCCTCCATGCTGAGGATCATTAGCTGAGCCACAGTGTGCTCCCGGATGCTGTTGAGCTCAGCCTGCTGGCGCCGCAGCTTTATTAACAGCAGGGTCAGCTCCTCTGGCTGCACAACAGCATAAACACAGAGGAGATAACGAGACAGTCAATTCATCAAGCCGTCGATCAATTAACAAATACATTAACCACACCTCTCTTGATTTTCCGTTTGGAAATTAGTTGAAATTTAGGAAAAGTAGTGGCAGGTTAGGGCAGGGATTCAAAAAAGCTATGTTTCTAACCAGGACTCTGACAAGTCTTTAGGCACAACCCAAGAGGCCTTTGGAAACACTGGATTGGGGTCTCGGCTGGGGCTGGGCTATAGGACTTGCACCTTTAGAGAATCTGCCTGAAATAAACTCCCTTAGTCCCCTGCCTCCAAACTGAGTAACTCTCCATCAAATGGACGTGAAAAAAAGAGAGCATATATTCAGTAACAGTAAAAAGCGATCATTTCAAATCACTTGACAAATATTTCTCATCAACTGCATTCTGAAGCCGCCCCACTGCGTGCATTCCACTGAAGTTACGCAATCACAATAATATTCAGAGAGTTACAAAATGAACTGTGCAGAATATCAATCTCTCCGGCTGATTCTAGTCTACTCAATTTGAGAGGACACAGCCAGAAGGCAATTTCATTGGTGCCACCGTCTCTCTCTCTCCGTATCATCACCAAGACAATGTCATTATTTTAATCACATTGTGTCTGCTACTGACAGAAATAACAAATGCTTGCAATAATAGACAGCAGATAATGTAACAAGGCACATACTCTGACAGAAATCCTTTACACATCCATTGTAGCGTGACAGAATGACAGTAATACATGATAGCTTGCGTGTCAAACATTGCGTGCCTCAAACATGTTTTTATTCCTGTCACAAAAACAGATTTGTACTTGCGTCACATTGAAATCATACCAATAGCATAACTATCATTCACAATGCATTGTTTTTGAGAGAAAATAGGACAGTAGAGATGAGAGGACAGGACAGGAGAGGAGGACAAGAAAGCAGAGAAGAGGTGAAGGAGGTCAGGGTTAGTTAGGTGACTCACCGTCTTGCCCTGTAGTGACTGTGGGGTAATGGTCTGCACTGGGATGCCTGCTGGCATGGACCGGCGGTCAGGTGGGTTGTTATACTGAGAGAGAGAGACAGGACAGGAGGAGGACAGGATGTTATGTTACATGTATTGATTTGAACTGGCAGACAAGTAAAATGAATGCTTTAAAATAAACAAAATAACTACTGCTCAATGCAGAGCATTTCCAGTCATTTCTGTGTGCTTGAAACCCCTGGTGATTATTTTGATGTGTAAGACTGGCTTAGATGATTGTGGTCCATTCCCTGTCCATTACCTTGGTGAGGTGAGTCCTGTGCCTGCGGTCTATAGTCATAGTCTGGTCCCCTCTGAAGACGGGTGAGGACACCTCGGACCTGGTCGACCCTGGTGGGTTGTCTCTGCGGTGTTGGCCCGGAGGGGAGAAGGTGTGGTAGAGGGCCAGGGATCCATGGGAGGGGGATGTGGGGATGGAGTGGGCCACCCCCTGGTGCTCAGAGATGTTCCCCATCGTCTTGGGGCTGGGCAGGGTTCCGTAGTGGCCTGGTGGTGGTGGACCCTGCCTGGAGAAGGCCTGCCTCTGCTGCCACTCATACAGCTGCCACATGGTGTCATCCCTCATGGAGCGCCTCTTGTCTGCATTTACAGTTTTACATTTTAGTCATTTTGCGGAGGCTCTTATCCACACAGACTTAAACTAGGTTAAAACAAACACAATATATCAGTCATTACAAGTAAAAGTGTACAACCTCAAGATAGCAACTATCTGCAAAATCAGTGCCAGAAAGAAAAGAAGAAGTGTGAGTTTAAGTGCAAGAAAGACAAGTATAACAGTATTTTATTTTATTTTTTATTTCACCTTTATTTAACCAGGTAAGCCAGTTGAGAACAAGTTCTCATTTACAACTGCGACCTGGCCAAGATAAAGCAAAGCAGTGCGATAAAAACAACAACACAGAGTTACATATGGGGTAAAAAAACATAAAGTAAATAAAAAAATACAACAGAAAATATATATACAGTGTGTGCAAATGTAGCAAGTTATGGAGGTAAGGCAATAAATAGGCTATAGTGCAAAATAATTACAATTAGTATTAACACTGGAATGCTAGATGTGCAAGAGATTATGTGCAAATAGAGATACTGGGGTGCAAAAGAGCAAAATAAATAACAATATAGGGATGAGGTAGTTGGGTGGGCTAATTTCAGATGGGCTGTGTACAGGTGCAGTGATCGGTAAGGTGCTCTGACAACTGATGCTTAAAGTTAGTGAGGGCGATAAGAGACTCCAGCTTCAGAGATTTTTGCAATTCGTTCCAGTCATTGGCAGCAGAGAACTGGAAGGAATGGCGGCCAAAGGAGGTGTTGGCTTTGGGGATGACCATTGAGATATACCTGCTGGAGCGCAGACTACGGGTGGGTGCTGCTATGGTGACCAATGAGCTAAGATAAGGCAGGGATTTGCCTAGCAGTGATTTATAGATGGCCTGGAGCCAGTGGGTTTGACGACAAACATGTAGTGAGGACCAGCCAACAAGAGCGTACAGGTCACAGTGGTGGGTAGTGTATGGGGCTTTGGAGACAAAACGGATGGCACTGTGATAGACTACATCCAATTTGCTGAGTAGAGTGTTGGAGGCTATTTTGTAAATGACATCGCCAGCAGCAAGAGCGACATCATTGATATACACGGAGAAAAGAGTCGGCCCGAGAATTGAACCCTGTGGCACCCCCATAGAGACTGCCATAGGTCCAGACAACAGGCCCTCCGATTTGACACACTGAACTCTATCTGAGAAGTAGTTGGTGAACCAGGCGAGGCAGTCATTTGAGAAACCAAGGCTATTTAGTCTGCCAATAAGAATGCGGTGGTTGACAGAGTCGAAAGCCTTGGCCAGGTCGATGAAGACGGCTGCACAGTACTGTCTATTATCGATCGCGGTTATATAATGTCGTTTAGGACCTTGAGCGTGGCTGAAGTGCACCCATGACCAGCTCGGAAACCGGATTGCATAGCGGAGAAGGTACGGTGGGATTCGAAATGGTCGGTGATCTGTTTGTTAAAGTAAAGTCTTGAACTGCGTCCCAAATGGCACCTTATCCCCTATAGCCCCTGGTCAAAGCAGTGCACTACATAGGGAATGGGGTGCCATTTGGGACACAGCCAAGTACAACAGTAAAGCTGAAGACCCATCACCTGAGTTGGATGCGGGAGCCAGGGCACGGTCGTAGACGGAGCCGGCCATGCTGCAGATGCTCTCGGGTCGGGACAGCATGTTCCTGGGGAGGGTACGGTAGCCCTCCGGGTAGCGGGGAACGATCTGGGATCGGTGGCTGGGCATGTTGCGGGGCAAGGTCTGGTAGGAGGTGATGCTGGAGGACAGGGGGGAAAAGGAGGGGGAAATCAATCAATGAATCAGCTAATAAAACATGATTTTCAATAGCTTGATTTACAAATACTTTGATCAATCAATCAATCAATCCAATCCCTATTCATATAGCATTATATAGTTCTAGAGAACAACCTGGGCCTAACCCCTAAAGAGCAAGAGCTACTTAGTAGTGTATGTACAGCACGCTTACTGCCTCTCTCTGTTAGTCTTAACAGTACTGTAGAGTAGCTACTGTAAAAGGTACTTGGCTCCAGCTCCCTCTCACAGGATATGGGCTTTAGGGAATACAAATCAGTCTTAACCCTTTACCTGTCTTCTTGAAAAACATGTTGAAAAAAAAGATGTCACCTTAAATTCCTAGTACAAACGACTGAAATAAGAATTTCCAATACTTTTCTTTTACAAATAGATGTTTATTTGGGAAATTACAGAGCTCTACCAGGCGGTTGAGAAGTCAAAAGAGGGTCATACTAGCAATGTCATATTAGAAAAGTAATTTGCATAGCATTTTTACTCATCTCAAGAATATTACATACATTACTTTAGATCTGCTTAAATTGCTTTTATAGATGCTTTATAGATGTTACATGTCACAGATCTCAAATTTGAAAAAACATGGTAATTTTGTGTGGCCAAATTGATGCATTGTTAGGTGGTATATAGTGCAATGTCCCCAAAATGGTTCTTACATTTCTAATGATCCAGGTTTTTCCACCATGTTTCACATGTTCATACTGCCTTTTGAGATCATGTGTGACAAAGTGCAATGTTTTTGTACTAGTATAGGCAAGGAGAGTTTTTCAGATTTCTTCTTTTCAATATGTTACCATCCATTGCTGATTCAACTAAGCTAGTTCTACATACAAAACACACTTAATTTAACAGATTTAATTTAATTTAGAATACATATAGGGTTACAGGAATGCTTATCAGGCGTCTGTAAATAGAGGAAGTTCTTGGAAATTATCTTAGCAAAGAACATCTCAACAATGATGCTACACGCACACACCCATACACATGAACACACACTGCATGTGGAAAGGGAGGAGACAGAGCAATGTGTCCTCCTGCCACAAAGTATTTTTTCCCTTTTTTTAAAACATTTTGGAGTGCCACCATTTCCTAATGTTCTTGGACCTGGTATATCCAGGTCCAAGTTTGAACACACCTACTCATTCAATGGTTTTTCTTTATTTTTACTATTTTCTACATTGTAGAATAATAGTTAAGACATCAAAACTATGAAATAACACATATGGAATCATGTAGTAACCAAAAAAGTGTTAAACAAATCAAAATATAACAGCCACCGTTTGCCTTGATGACAGCTTTGCACACTCTTGGCATTCTCTCAACCAGCTTCACCTGGAATGCTTTTCCAACAGTCTTGAAGGAGTTCCCACATATGCTGAGCACTTGTTGGCTGCTTTTCCTTCACTCTGCCGTCCGACTCATCCCAAACTATCTCAATTGGGTTGAGGTCGGGGGATTGTGGAGGCCAGGTCATCTGATGCAGCACTCCATCACTCTCCTTCTTGGTCAAATAGCCCTTACACAGCCTGGAGGTGTGTTGGGTCATTGTGCTGTTGAAAAACAAATGATATTCCCACTATACCCAAACCAGATGGGATGGCGTATCACTGCAGAATGCTGTGGTAGCCATGCTGGTTAAGTGTGCCTTGAATTCTAAATAAATCACAGACAGTGTCGCCAGCAAAGCACCCCCACACCATAACACCTCCTCCTCCATGCTTTACGGTGGGAAATACACATGCAGAGATCATCCGTTCACCCACACCGTGTCTCACAAAGCCACGGCAGTTGGAACCAAAAATCTCCAATTTGGACTCCAGACCAAAGGACACATTTCCAACGGTCTAATGTCCATTGCTCGTGTTTCTTGGCCCAAGCAAGTCTCTTCTTCTTAATGGTGTCCTTTAGCAGTAGTTTCTTTGCAGCAATTTGACCATGAAGGCCTGATTCATACAGTCTCCTCTGAACAGTTGATGTTGAGATGTGTCTGTTACTTGAACTCTGTGAAATATTTATTTGGGCTGAAATTTCTGAGGCTGGTAACTCTAATGAACTTATCCTCTGCAGCAGAGGTAACTCTGGGTCTTCCATTCCTGTGGCGGTCCTCATGAAAGCCAGTTTCATCATAGCGCTTGATGGTTTTTGCGACTACACTTGAAGAAACTTTTAAAGTTCTTGAAATGTTCCATATTGACTGACCTTCATGTCTTAAAGTAATGATGGACTGTTGTTTCCCTTTGCTTATTTGAGCTGTTCTTGCCATAATATGGACTTGGTCTTTTACCAAATAGGGCTATCTTCTGTATACCCCCCTACCTTGTCACAACACAACTGATTGGCTCAAACGCACTAAGAAGGAAAGAAATTCAACAAATTAACTTTTAAGAAGGCACACCTGTTAATTGAAATGCATTCCAGGTGACTATCCTATGAAGCTGGTTGAGAGAATGCCAAGAGTGTGCAAATCTATCATCAAGGCAAAGGGTGGCTATTTGAAGAATCTCAAATATAAAATATATTTTGATTTGTTTAACACTTTTTTGGTTACTACATGATTCCATATGTGTTATGTCATAGTTTTGATGTCTTCATTATTGTTCTACAATGTAATTTTTTTTTAAATAATGAAAAAGCCTTGAATGAGTAGGTATGTCACATTTTATTACTGGTAGTGTATGTCACCATTATTTGAGACTGTAGTCTTCTCTAGAGCCCTGTAGCATGCCTTTATGCAGGTTTACGTTTATTGGGATGACTCTTCTCCTGGAGGCCGAGCTGAGAGGTTTCTGTTAAATGGGCAAGCCGCAAAGTCAAAATTGGCTATATAGTAAAACAAATGCTATAAAACAAAAATGAGCTTTTTGGCCTTAGTTTAAGGTTAGGTTTAGGCATAAAGTTAGCAGTGTGGTTAAGGTTAGGGTTAGGCATACAGTTAGCAGTGTGGTTAAGATTAGGGTTAAGGTTAGGTTTAAAATCAGATTTTATGACTGTGGCTATGCCCGCTAGTGACCACCAGCGTTGGGATTAGTTACTTGGAAACTAAAGTTACATTTAACTAAAGTTACACATTACTTTAGAATATTACTTTGTGTGCAAAGTAAAGCGTTGTTACTTTGTGTTACCTTCATGAAAAAGCTCTAAATCTCACCGTTTGTTTGACTGTCAGAGGGAGCAAGAGGAGACACTCTACCAATGATACACTACTTACTAACTCAGGTTTGATCACTAGGTTCTCCTTTCATCGGTGGTGCTGCTTTCCTGTGCTAGTCTACAAGTGCTACGTTATATATGGGATGCTTAAGTAGCCATATAGAGTATACTGTAAGCCAAACATCTGTACAGATTTCCTATCTTTTCATTCAAAATTTCATCCATCCACTAACACTCTGAATCCACAGGAACAGGACGGCAGGGTGGGAAAACATCTCTCCCAACAACAGTAAAATCTACTGAGATGATTGTCAGAATAGTTAGGTTCCGGTTGAAATCTGTAAAACGTTGGTTTGATATAGTACAGTGGGGGAAAAAAGTATTTAGTCAGCCACCAATTGTGCAAGTTCTCCCACTTAAAATGATGAGAGGCCTGTAATTTTCATCATAGGTACACGTCAACTATGACAGACAAAATGAGGAAAAAAAATCCAGAAAATCACATTGTAGGATTTTTAATGAATTTATTTGCAAATTATGGTGGAAAATAAGTATTAGGTCAATAACAAAAGTTTCTCAATACTTTGTTATATACCCTTTGTTGGCAATGACACAGGTCAAACGTTTTCTGTAAGTCTTCACAAGGTTTTCACACACTGTTGCTGGTATTTTGGCCCATTCCTCCATGCAGATCTCCTCTAGAGCAGTGATGTTTTGGGGCTGTCGCTGGGCAACACAGACTTTCAATTCCCTCCAAAGATTTTCTATGGGGTTGAGATCTGGAGACTGGCTAGGCCACTCCAGGACCTTGAAATGCTTCTTACGAAGCCACTCCTTCGTTGCCCGGGCGGTGTGTTTGGGATCATTGTCATGCTGAAAGACCCAGCCATGTTTCATCTTCAATGCCCTTGCTGATGGAAGGAGGTTTTCACTCAAAATCTCACGATACATGGCTCCATTCATTCTTTCCTTTACATGGATCAGTCGTCCTGGTCCCTTTGCAGAAAAACAGCCCCAAAGCATGATGTTTCCACCCCCATGCTTCACAGTAGGTATGGTGTTCTTTGGATGCAACTCAGCATTCTTTGTCCTCCAAACACGACGAGTTGCGTTTTTACCAAAAAGTTATATTTTGGTGTCATCTGACCATATGACATTCTCCCAATCCTCTTCTGGATCATCCAAATGCACTCTAGCAAACTTCAGACGGGCCTGGACATGTACTGGCTTAAGCAGGGGGACACATCTGGCACTGCAGGATTTGAGTCCCTGGCGGCGTAGTGTGATGGTAGGCTTTGTTACTTTGGTCCCAGCTCTCTGCAGGACATTCACTAGGTCCCCCCGTGTGGTTCTGGGATTTTTGCTCACCGTTCTTGTGATCATTTTGACCCCACAGGGTGAGATCTTGCGTGGAGCCCCAGATCGAGGGAGATTATCAGTGGTCTTGTATGTCTTCCATTTCCTAATAATTGCTCCCACAGTTGATTTCTTCAAACCAAGCTGCTTACCTATTGCAGATTCAGTCTTTCCAGCCTGGTGCAGGTCTACAATTTTGTTTCTGGTGTCCTTTGACAGCTCTTTGGTCTTGGCCATAGTGGAGTTTGGAGTGTGACTGTTTGAGGTTGTGGACAGGTGTCTTTTATACTGATAACAAGTTCAAACAGGTGCCATTAATACAGGTAACGAGTGGAGGACAGAGGAGCCTCTTAAAGAAGAAGTTAGTCTGTGAGAGCCAGAAATCTTGCTTGTTTGTAGGTGACCAAATAAATCTTTTCCACCATAATTTGTAAATAAATTCATAAAAATCCTACAATGTGATTTTCTGGATTTTTTTTTCTCAATTTGTCTGTCATAGTTGACGTGTACCTATGATGAAAATTACAGGCCTATCTCATCTTTTTAAGTGGGAGAACTTGCACAATTGGTGGCTGACTAAATACTTTTTTCCCCCACTGTAACACCCTTCGGAGTACTGCAAACAGTATGGAGTCTTTCTTCTCCTTCTTTGTCTTCTTGTTCTTTATTATTTCAGATGCCTTTCTCCTTGGTAACTAACAACAGCTCACAGCTTTTTGTTGTTCCATTACTCTGCATTTTCACCCTCCAGTTGAATGGTACTTAAGGTTGCAAAGTCATTCTCTAATGGTTAATTTGGTTCCAAAAGTAAATAAAGTATAAATGTCCCAAAGTCAATGAAGAAATTAGTGGAGGGCTGCAAAGTGTTCTCTGACCGTCACAGTTAATGTCTGCATACATCTGAGGAGCAGTAGCACTTTATTTGTACAGTACAGTCATACTGTCTGTTAAACATATTGTGCAAGTCTATTTTTACACCTCTCTTTCAGTTCCTCAAAAAAAGAGATATTCTTTCAAAAAAGGCAATTAACATGAAGGATATGTTTGAACATGATAGATTTCAGAAGATCACTAAATTATCTGTAAGAGTTACAGAGGGTCAAAGATCATACTCCTAAGAGGTAAGCAAGTCTTGGGGGTATGATCTTTGACCCTCTGTAACTTTCTCACTCATCATTATTCACAATTCATTCAGGATTATTTGTAATCTTGGCAGCATCCACATTAATGTAGAAGTGTTTAGAAACATATTATATTCTTATTTACAATAAAAGTGACTCCAAAATTATTTACCATTCATTTCTATTGGGCGCTGCTTTCCTGTGCTAGTTTACAAGTGCTACATTATATATGGGCTGCTTAAGTAGCCATATACAGTATACTGTAAGCCAAACATCTGTACAGATTTCCTATCTTTTCATTCAAAATGTATCTCGAGCCGCCAGCTCTGGTTAAAGACGGCACTTACACGGACCCATAGAGATGTATAGAGGGCACACTTGCCACTAGACAGGAAAGGCCTCTATGGGCTTTTCTATCACAGAAGCGATCAATAGCAAAGATTGTGTGGCGGAAAACGCACCCACCCAGGCTCCGCCGACATTAACAGCTTTCCAGTCGTATCACCCTGGCTTTCACCTTGATAATGACTGGGACCCCCTGGTCCATCTGCGACCTTCACCCTGGACGACCGCTAGGAAGACCTGGGGAGGGCTTAACCTGTGGCTAGAGAGATGCTTCTGTGACCAACTGGGTATGAACCCGGGTCTCTTACTTGTGTTTGCCCACAGAGCTCAAGGAGCTAACATAATTATTTTTCTTTTACATTTTTAGTCATTTAGCAGACGCTCTTATCCAGAGCGACTTACAGTTAGTGAGTGATTACATTTTTTTTTTTTTCATACTGGCCCCCTGTGGGAATCGAACCCACAACCCTGGCGTTGCAAACGCCACGCTCTACCAACTGAGCTACATCCCTGACGGCCATTCCCTCCCCTACCCTGGACGACGCTGGGCCAAATGGGTCTCCCGGTCGCGGCCGGCTACGACAGAGCCTGGAATCTAACCAGGATCTCTAGTGGCACAGCTAGCACAGCGATGCAGTGCCTTATACCACTGCGCCAAGGCCCAATGCAGTCAAAAGCGAGATTTTCACGTGTTTTATATAGATTTACACACGAGGTTGGAATAATACTGTGAATTTGTGAAAATTATGATAATTCCCTTTTAGTGCAAGAGCTGTTTGAAAAGATGGCCTGAAATTTCAGCCTGTTTTGGTGGGAAGGAATTTTGCCTGCCTGGCGACATTACCAGGCGGTAATTTAGTTAATAGACCAATAAGAGAGAGAGTTCCAAACCTCTCTGCCAATAAAATATAGTTTTCAGTTTTTCCCTCCACACTCAGACCACTCCCAGACAATCCTAGCCAAAGTCTTGCTTGAGAAATTGCTGTTTTTGTTTATTTTTAACCATTTTAATTGAAAACAAATCACAGTAAGGTACTTAAATGTAAACAATAAATTATTTAATATTGAGATTAAACAGCAGCATTGGACCTTTAAACAGACACAAAAAAAAGTTTCCAAAGTTTCGGCTGGATGCCTTTATCAAGAGCATAAACAATAATACAATAAAACTAGGTTCCCTCCAATTCACAAATATTGTGCAGAAATTACTTAATTGGCCAGATAGGGGGACACCTCCCCACACCCATGAGTTAATAAATTGTTAAATTACATATGTAATAAACCATATACAGGCAACACTCAAGCAAAAAAACACATTTGTTAAACAACTAGATTAAAATAACTAGTTCATGGTAATTAGTCAGTCATGTATCGTCATTCAAAGCAGCATACAGCAGATGGTCACACTGCTTTTACCCTGATATACAACAAAAATAGTACAAAACCATTGATGGAGCCTTTTTCAGTTCCTCTAAGCAACAAAGATATGTGTTAGTGATAAGGTGTTGAAAAAAGAAAATTGGATCTGATAAAAATTGGAGAAGTAAAAAAAAAAAATGGGTTTATTTCGAAGTAAATTAAATAGGCTTATTTCTAAGTAATTTCAGATGAAGCAGAAAAAGTACACTCCAGACAGAGCAATAAAAAGGACTTAATCAGAATTGTCTAAACAAACCTCAAATACCGGTAGACATTTTGTACCGAGGACTTTTAACTGCAAATAAAATACCTCAACATATCTGCCAACACTATTTGTCTCAGCATTAACAGAAGGTCCTACATAAACCTCTGATCTCAAGCTTCAGTAGGAGGGATCAGTTTAGCCCACAGTCTGTCCCAGAATGCCTGGTGCTGATGGGGGTCCTGGGGCCAGTCCAAATAGGTCCTGGTCTTGACCAGGCGAGCCAGCCTGTGGTGGGCAGACAGCCGGCGAGGGGGGATCTTCTCCAGGAAGACCAGGAGGAGGATGTCCCTTTGCTCCACCTGCAGCCTGGAGGTGGCCAGCTTCATCTCCAAGGAACACCAGTTACTGTGCAGGTAGTGGCGGCTGACCAGGCAGAGGGTTTGCCGGCTCCGGTAGAGGCTGTCTGTGATGTTCTCCACAATGTCCTTCCCCAGCTGGAAGTCCCTGCTGTGCAGACAGAGGCGCAGGAAAGGGGGACCCCTCTGCTCCAGGTTGGGTAGTAGCTCCTCCACCACCCAGCGCTCGTCCTTTCCGCTGTAGGAGACAAACGCATCATAGTGGTAGCGCCCCCTGGTGTTTGATCGCATCGCCTCCGACAGCCAGCCAAGGGTGATGTGGTAGAGGGGGAGGAGGTAAGGACCGGCCAGGTTATGGACCAACACCACCAGCATGAAGAACAGGACTCCCAGGCCAGTCGCAGCAAAGAGCACAAAGCCCACCTCTGTTGTGCAGTTGGCTTCTGTGTACTTGACAAAGTTAGGTGTGTCTAGTCCATTGTCCGACAAGCATATCAAGTCCTCTAAAGTATATATATGTTCATGATTAAGCATGATCACTTCAACCGACCTGTACCCCTTTGCCCATGCAATGAGCCAAGCACTGTCACAACTGCAAAAAATCTGTAACATATCAAGTATCAAATACTTTAGGCTAAAGAGAGGTTCGGTAAAGCTGTAGATTACATGATAAATGTTCTCGATACGCAAATATAATGTTTTCAAGGATTTAAAGTCTTTAGTTAAACTCCCCTCTAAAGAGTCAATCCTGCAGTTTGAAAGTTTCAGAACCTCCAGTTTGGTCAGGTTATGGAAAATGGTGTCGGCAGAATGCTGTATTAAAAGGTCCACCTGTATTAGAGTCAGTTTCCTCAGGTGAATCAGCTGATTCATTGATGTTAAATCAACACTTTTAGCTGAAAGCTTTGACCTGTACACAAATGTCTCCACAGACCTGAAGTACTTTCCCATGAATTCAGATCCACAAAGGAATTCTTCAGCGTCAACATTAAGATGGGTTACAGACTTAAAGAAAGGTCTGTCACAGTCTTCAAATGACACTGTCTGGCCATTGAGTTGGAGACTCAGGTTCTGTTTAGATGTGATGTTACTGCCAATAATCAACTGCATTGGCCTCATACCTGAACTAATGTGCAAATGAGTCAGGTGACTCAGAATGTCACTGAATACAAGTGTGAGATTCAGCTTTATCACAGCTTCACTTGGTGGATAGTTCAAGTACCCCAGAAACACTTGTCTTAGACATGTAAGGTGTGCGAAAGACATTGCTTCAATATTGTAGATCTGTGGATTTTCCCTGAGGTCTAACAATGTCAAACTATGTAAACCAATAAACGTGTTTGCATATAACTGGGTTATATTATTTTGTGTAATGTCTAAGGACTCCAGATTTGCCAATCCGAGGAAAGCAAAGTCTTCAATGTTTGAAATTAAACTACATGATAAATCTAGAGACTGCAGGTTCTCAAGACAGCTGAACTGTTTTGCAAAAAGCGTTTGTATTTTCCTCGACCTGAAAGAGAGTAGTGTTAACCATGTGATTGGTTGATTTCGGAAGGAGCAGAGGTCAAGACTGTTTTGTGTCTGGCCATATACATATAATATTTTAAGGTTTTTGAGACTGGAAAGAAAATTCCATTTCAAATGGGGAGTAGAATGGAAGAGTCCATGTCCATGAAACTCCATATATTCCAGCCCAATGCACAATTCAACACTGGACATGGAGAGGCTGCTTGTATTGGCATTGGAAAAACGTATTCCCTTGATTGAAAGCAAAAACACTACATTACAGACACTTTCAAAATCAATGTAATTGCGACCAGATAAAACCAAGAACTGGATTTGCTTAATGCCAGACAGGGGAAGACGCAGTAGGACATCCTGGTTTAGGCCCCCAGTAAAACTTGTCAGGTTCTGGAAACAAGCCAGTGCACCTTCCTCTATATGGTTTATTTGACCAAAATCTAATCCGGCGCTTGTTAGATTGTTTGAAAACAGGTGTCATGCTTTCGTTGGCGTTTAAGATGGAGCAGTTTGATTGGTTTAACGATTGTATATTTGGTGCCTCTACAAATAGCTTTGTAAGTGACTTTATATTCATTATTCTGCATAGTATTTCTGACAAATCCTCTACACAGGGTTCATGAACCAAGACACTTTGTAATTGAGGTATGCCATGGAAAATGTACTGTCGTAGTAAATATATAATGTTATAGCTTGGTCTGACTAAAATATTGTGCATGACCCATTTTGTGTTGGGCCTTTGTATTCAATACAATGAACAAGAGTCCTATCTTGTCAGCCTTGTCAGCAGGTGGCTAAGGATAACACCCACGCCATAGGTCTCTCAGTTCTTCCAACTCACGAGTTCTTGCCCTGAGGACACACACACACACACCCACACACACACACACACACACACACACACACACACACATCATCACTGATAAACACACACACACACACACATCATCACTGATAACAAACACACACACACACACACACACACACACACACACACACACACACACTGATAACAAACACACACCACACACACACAAATCCTCTTCTCTTAGGCTGAACATCTGAAGACAGAGAACCCGACTCAGAGCCAATGCAACAGTGACACTAGCCTGGAGGTGACCTCGCCCAACTCATCAGGACCAATCAGAAGATCAGAACTACTAGATTCAACCTACTTCATTTTATTGTATAAAATGTCAGCACACAATGTTTAGGGGCTCTTCTGATAAACTCCCTACGAGTTTGACGAACGGGTCCGTGCACGCGATTCCAGATATCTTTACCTCTGAATAAACTGCCTTATATTATACAATTATCCACCTTGTCCAAAAGTCTCTACTTGGTCTCCGTTCTCCAGTAAACTTGTTTTATCAACAATAGTAAGGTTCAATGACACAGAAAGCAGTTCAATGTCGGGGTACAGAGTCGCTCTCTTACCAGGATCGCGGTCCGCTCTGACCAGGGTGAAGCCGGCCGGCTCCACCTCTCTGTCCGGGACTCTGTCATCCAGCCAAGTCTCCCAGCTGTATTGGGATTCCGCTGCCAGCAGCGTTTTCATTATTTAGTCCGTTCGTAGCGGGTATGTACACGATCAACAAGATCAGTCCAAAACCGAAGATCAGTCCAAAGCAGAATGTTTGCAGAATGTTTGTAAACTATCAGGTGCCATTACTGATGGCCTATAACGCAATATGGTCAACTGACTTAGCTTGACTAGATCTCTGAATGCGTTAGGCCCAATATGACAATCACAGCACCCAGTGACTATTCCATTAAAGTATATATGTCGCAGATTTGGAAGGACCTGGCTATTACCAGTTGGAAGGATTTGAGGAAAACAGCCTCCAATGTACAGGTTCTCCAAATACTGAAAACGAGAGAAAAAACCCAGAGACATGGAACTATTTTCACCATGTTTCATAGATATGCAGAGGGTATTGATATTAGAGGGAAGTCCAAGCAGATCCTCCTCGATGGCTGTGACATCTCGACAGGCAGCAGTATACTGTTCTGCTAAAGGACAGTAGTTCCAGGTGGGCAAGTATTCACCACTGTTATAAATGTGGCATTTAGGATACATCCATCCACTAACACTCTGAATCCACAGGAACAGGACGGCAGGGTGGGAAAACATCTCTCCCAACGACAGTAAAATCTACTGAGATGATTGTCAGAATAGTTAGGTTCCGGTTGAAATCTGTAGAACGTTGGTTTGATATAGTAACACCCTTCGGAGTGCTGCAAACAGTATGGAGTCTTTCTTCTTCTTTGTCTTCTTGTTCTTTATTATTTCAGATGCCTTTCTCCTTGGTAACTAACAACAGCTCACAGCTTTTTGTTGATCCATTACTCTGCCTTTTCACCCTCCAGTTGAATGGTACTTAAGGTTGCAAAGTCATTCTCTAATGGTTAGTTTGGTTCCAAAAGTAAGTAAAGTATAAATGTCCCAAAGTCAATGAAGAAATGAGTGGAGGGCTGCAAAGTGTTCTCTGACCGTCACAGTTAATGTCTGCATACATCTGAGGAGCAGTAGCACTTTATTTGTACAGTACAGTCATACTGTCTGTTAAACATCTTGTGCAAGTCTATTTTTACACCTCTCTTTCAGTTCCTCAAAAAAAGAGACATTCTTTCAAAAAAGACAATTAACATGAAGGATATGTTTGAACATGATAGATTTCAGAAGATCACTAAATTATCTGTAAGAGTTACAGAGGGTCAAAGATCATACTCCTAAGAGGTAAGCAAGTCTTGGGGGTATGATCTTTGACCCTCTGTAACTTTCTCACTCATCATTATTCACAATTCATTCAGGATTATTTGTAATCTTGGCAGCATCCACATTAATGTAGAAGTGTTTAGAAACATATTATATTCTTATTTACAATAAAAGTGACTCTAAAATGACACAATACATTATTTACCATTCATTTCTATTGGGCACAAAATAATCTGAAACACAACCAAAACGAACTGCAAATGCATCCAACAAGTTTGTAGAGTCACAAGCTTGATGTAGTCATTGCGTGCTAGAAATATGGGACCAAATACTAAACTGTTGACTACTTTATTTCCAAGAAACTTTAGGGGTTGTCAATAATTTTGACCCCTACCTTTTTGAGAAAAAAACATTTTACTTGTTAAACAAAATCTCTTTCTCTGAGCAATTGTATTAGTATATAATAATATAATTTCCCAATTTTGTGAGCATACAATATAGCTCAGTATTTAAATTATTTATTTTATACAGTCATTATTGCTAATCCTAATCCCTTTAACTCTCTTCTTGAAAAACATTTGGAAAAAATGATCACCTTAAATTCCTATAACTCAAATAAGAACTTTTTTTTATTTTGGAAATTACAGAGCTCTACCAGATGGTTGAGAAGTCAAAAGAGGGTTATTACTAGCAATGTCATATTAGAATAGTAATTTGCATAGCATTTTTTATAATCTCAACAATAATACAGAAATGACTTTAGGTCTGCTTCGATGGCTTTTATAGGTAGGTAAGCGTTGTTAAATGAGGCCTGATGTTATGGTAATTTCGTATGTCCAAACATGAATATTAAATTACATTGAAATTAATGCATGTTCAGGTGGTTTATAGTGTTCATGTCCCTCAAAAAAAATTTCTCTTACATTTAAAATGATGAAGGTTCTTCCACCATGTTTTCCACATATACAGACTACATTTTCAGATAAATGACAAAGAGCAGTTTTCAATTACTATCATAGGCATTCTTTTATAGTCGACCTTAAGTCTGAATATAATGTGTTGTCAACAATTCAATCATATCTTTCACCAAGTACAGTGGGGGAAAAAAGTATTTAGTCAGCCACCAATTGTGCATGTTCTCCCACTTAAAAAGATGAGAGAGGCCTGTAATTTTCATCATAGGTACACGTCAACTATGACAGACAAATTGAGAAAAAAAATCCAGAAAATCACATTGTAGGATTTTTTAAGATTTATTTACAAATTATGGTGGAAAATATGTATTTGGTCACCTACAAACAAGCAAGATTTCTGCCTCTCACAGACTGTAACTTCTTCTTTAAGAGGCTCCTCTGTCCTCCACTCGTTACCTGTATTAATGGCACCTGTTTGAACTTGTTATCAGTATAAAAGACACCTGTCCACAACCTCAAACAGTCACACTCCAAACTCCACTATGGCCAAGACCAAAGAGCTGTCAAAGGACACCAGAAACAAAATTGTAGACCTGCACCAGGCTGGGAAGACTGAATCTCAATAGGTAAGCAGCTTGGTTTGAAGAAATCAACTGTGGGAGCAATTATTAGGAAATGGAAGACATACAAGACCACTGATAATCTCCCTCGATCTGGGGCTCCACGCAAGATCTCACCCCGTGGGGTCAAAATGATCACAAGAACGGTGAGCAAAAATCCCAGAACCACACGGGGGGACCTAGTGAATGACCTGCAGAGAGCTGGGACCAAAGTAACAAAGCCTACCATCAGTAACACACTACGCCGCCAGGGACTCAAATCCTGCAGTGCGAGACGTGTCCCCCTGCTTAAGCCAGTACATGTCCAGGCCCGTCTGAAGTTTGCTAGAGTGCATTTGGATGATCCAGAAGAGGATTGGGAGAATGTCATATGGTCAGATGAAACCAAAATAGAACTTTTTGGTAAAAACTCAACTCGTCGTGTTTGGAGGACAAAAGAATGCTGAGTTGCATCCAAAGAACACCATACCTACTGTGAAGCATGGGGGTGGAAACATCATGCTTTGGGGCTGTTTTTCTGCAAAGGGACCAGGACGACTGATCCGTGTAAAGGAAAGAATGAATGGGGCCATGTATCGTAAGATTTTGAGTGAAAACCTCCTTCCATCAGCAAGGGCATTGAAGATGAAACGTGGCTGGGTCTTTCAGCATGACAATGATCCCAAACACACCGCCCGGGCAACGAAGGAGTGGCTTCGTAAGAAGCATTTTAACGTCCTGGAGTGGCCTAGCCAGTCTCCAGATCTCAACCCCATAGAAAATCTTTGGAGGGAGTTGAAAGTCCGTGTTGCCCAGCGACAGCCCCAAAACATCACTGCTCTAGAGGAGATCTGCATGGAGGAATGGGCCAAAATACCAGAAACAGTGTGTGAAAACCTTGTGAAGACTTACAGAAAACGTTTGACCTGTGTCATTGCCAACAAAGGGTATATAACAAAGTATTGAGAAACTTTTGTTATTGACCAAATACTTATTTTCCACCATAATTTGCAAATAAATTCATTAAAAATCCTACAATGTGATTTTCTGGATTTTTTTCTCTCTCATTTTGTCTGTCATAGTTGACGTGTACCTGTGATGAAAATTACAGGCCTCTCTCATCTTTTTAAGTGGGAGAACTTGCACAATTGGTGGCTGACTAAATACTTTTTTCCCCCACTGTATTTAGAATTTAAAAAATATTTCATCCACCATACTTTTACTTACTTTTTACAAATTATGTTAATTTTTGCAGGAGGGCTGGTGGAGTTGACCAATCAATAGGGATGTGCATCTTTCCCTTTCAAGGCAATTTGATACCTATTCAGATCCCTTCCCTTTTTCCACATTGTTACGTTACAGCCTTATTCTAAAAAGGATTAAATAAATAAAAATGTATCATCAATCTACACCCACTAAGCAGGTAGCTTAATGGGTAAGAGCGTTGTGCCAGTAACCGAAAGGTCGCTGGTTCTAATTCCCGAGCCGACTAGGTGAAAAATCTGTCGATGTGCCCTTAAGCAAGGCACTTAACCCTAATTGCTCCTGTAAGTCACTCTGGATAAGAGCGTCTGCTAAATGACTAAAATGTAACATGTAAATGTAAAATGGACACACAATACTCCATAATGACAAAGTGAAAACAGGTTTTTAGAAATGTTTGCAAATTTATTTTAAAAAAACAACAGAAATACCTTATTTACATAAGTATTCAGACCCTTTGCTATGAGACTCGAAATTGAGCTAAGGTGCATACTGTTTCCATTGATCATCCTTGAGATGTGTCTACAACTTGATTGGAGTCCACCTGTTGTAAAACCAATTGATTGGACATGATTTGGAAAGGCAGCCCCAAAACATCACTGCTCTAGAGGAGATCTGCATGGAGGAATGTGCCAAAATATATCAGCAACAGTGTGTGAAAACCTTGTGAAGACTTACAGAAAACGTTTGACCTGTGTCATTGCCAACAAAGGGTATATAACAAAGTATTGAGAAACTTTTGTTATTGACCAAATACTTATTTTCCACCATAATTTGCAAATAAATTCATTAAAAATCCTACAATGTGATTTTCTGGATTTATTTTTCTCATTTTGTCTGTCATAGTTGACGTGTACCTATGATGAAAATTACAGGCCTCTCTCATCTTTTTAAGTGGGAGAACTTGCACAATTGGTGGCTGACTAAATACTTTTTTCCCCCACTGTATATAGCACAATTTGAGATTTCATTACCATCTCAAAATCGAATGCTTTTGACCATTTGGAAGTTTTACAGGGTGATTTTCTCTTCTCCTCTCTCTACGGCCATGAAGTGCATTTTGGTCAAATGCTATTTCTAGGGGGTTTAGGGTTTGCGCCTCGCAAAAGTGATTGCTGTCCTCGTTATGATCAACTTCACCCTGTATATCTAAAATGACCATATACACTGATTGTTTAAAACTATTGCCGATAGTGAACCTGAACAATCAAAATAAAATCTATTGTAAGCCCCGTTCAGCAGGTATAGCCAGATGAGTTGTGTTTCCGGTTTACTTTTACACCATTTTCAACAGCGAATAAATAACAATAAACTAGCAAATTACATAGGTTGTCACTGAACTAATAAAGCCTAATATCAAGCAAGCCATTTTAGCATTTGCTTGCTGAAGGTGGCGCACAGATGTGCAAGATCAGGAACAGGCCGTCTACCTCGCGTTGGTCAGCGCGCAAAGTTGGGCACAGTGCGCAGTTTGACTAGGCTACTGATTTTGCCTGGGGGTTGTTCGGCTTGCAAAATTACTTGTAGATCAATGACTGTCAACACAGTTACATATAGTTCGACACTGTTGTCACAAAATATTTGGTATTTTCGGTAGGTAGAAATAATGTAATATGAGCATAACAAAATGTGAACCGGCGATTCTTAACATTTTTGTAGATTTTTGGACCGGCATGCTAAATTTGGGTCGGTATGCAAAACATGCTCTACCTGCCGGTTGAGAATATGAATTACCTACATTTACATTTTAGTCATTTAGCAGACGCGCTTATCCAAAGTGACTTACAGGACCAATTAGGGTTAAGTGCTCTGCTCAAGGGCACATCGACAGATTTTTCACCTAGTCGGCTCAGGGAATCGAACCATCGACCTTTCGGTTACTGGCCCAATGCTCTTAACCGCTAGACTACCTGCCACCGCTAAATACCTGTGTGTTTATCTAATTAAAGCATTATGCTAATAAGTCCCAACTTTAACTTTACCTTTCCTTTATATACCTAGGAGACACAATGAATGGCTGGGTCATTACCATATCACAGACAGACTCAGGTCTTTATCAGGAGAGGAGGAGCATGGATAGGTCATGACCTCATTACAGTAAGATGTGATTGGCTACTAGTGTTAATATGAGTCACTGATTCGCCGAAGGTACAGTACTGTCTAGCTAATAAGTCACTGTACATGTCAGTGGAGGGACTCTGTGCTTATTAACAAGACTAAGTATCAGACAAAGACACCAACGGCCTTTATGAAGTCTCAAAATCGTATCCAGAACCTAGCCTGTATACGATAAATAAAAGCATATCCTCTTGAGGATGAGACATAGTCTGACAGTATATAGGCCTACTACAACTGCATGGTAAGAGTTAATTTGTCATTACAACAGTAAGCTAAAAGAGACAGGGGACATTAAGAGAACAGGGGGCTCAATTGAACCAATCCTTTGTTTGTGCTGTTTAGCATCAGTTCCTCTGAGTCCTTCCTCTTTTCAGAGGATTAATTGCCGTAAACAAATGCAGTTTAATGGGGAGGGAAAAGGGAAAGTAGGGCGCTGGCTCTAATCTGTATTCTCGCTGGCTCTGAGACTAGGCTATAGTAGAGGCTGCAGGCTGAATGTCTGGCCTCCTAATATTGGCCTAGTACAGTAAATTCACAGCCAGAGTAGGGACAGAGAGAGTTCAGTGGTAAAGAGGGCAGAACCTCAAACACAGCCAATAGCCAATGTCATACAAGCACAGGGGCATAAAGTTTACATCCATAGCTTATGTTCTACAAACACAGGCACATACGGTCATCAGTAGAGCCTAGTGAGCTATAGCCAGTACCTTCACTGGACAGCCATCTTCAAATACATCATAATAAAGTCCTGTACTAGGTGCAATGCATATGGATTTCATTGATCTATATTCCACACAGTACAACCGTTTTAATATCTCACCCTGAGCTCACAGTTCAAATAGAAGCTTGGGACCGAGCGTTTGCTTCGTGCTGCTATGGCTATGCACACACTTTCTCCGTCAAAGGGAATTGGATACGAGAGAACACCTGATTGTTGGAATAACACAGAGAGGGAATCAGTATTTACACCCTGATAAAGAATGCATCCCAAATGGCACCCTATTCCCTATGTAGAGCACTACTTTTGACCAGAGCCCTATTGGCCCTTGTCAAAAGGAGTGCACTACATAGGGAATAGGGTGCCATTTGAGACGCATCCGAAAACATGTCAGCAGGAAGTTTCCCTCCTATTCCCTCGGCTGTTATAGAGGACTGATGATGATGCAGTAGGAGCACTGAGCAGTGCTCTACTTGTAACAGGGACACAGGTCCATAACTTATTCATCTAAAGGAATGGGAGGAGGAGAGGAGGAGAGTGAAGAGACAGGGAGCAAACATTCCCTCGCTCCTGTTCTCAAACAAGCCCAGCAAAATGAGTGTATGATCCCTGACAGCGACATACATCGGTGACATGAAAAGCTTTTTGCTCTCGCGGGTAACCCCAGGCCAGGGATGCTAGAGCACTGAGCAGAGACAGTGAAAGAGGCGAGAGAGAGAGACAGTGAAAGAGGCGAGAGAGAGAGAGAGGAAGAGAGAGAGGAAGAGAGAGAGGGAGAGAGGAAGGAAGGAGAGAGAGAGAGAGAGGGGTATGGTCAAGATAAAGAGGTCTGGGAGATATGGATGTTTTTTTATTTCTATGTCTCTGGCTGTCCGGTGCTGTTAGAGAGACAACCTAAACTCTAGATGGCTGGCTGACTCACTGACAGAGTGCACTGCAGACACACCGAGGTGGTTTGCTTTGACAATGAGTTTGCACTATCTGAGAGAACAGTAACAGATTTCAGAGAGACATGGGTATGTACAGACCAATAAAGGTAGACAGACAGAAACACAACCAACCCCAACACACACACACACCACCCCAAAACACGCACACATGGCAGACAGACAGACAGACAGACAGACACACACACACACCCCTTTACCTCCTGGTATCGTCATCCTCTTGTGTTCTCTGGGTCCTAACCCAGTTCTCCAGCTGCTTCATGGAGTTGGTTCTGGTCAGACCCCTCTCTGGCTCCTGGGCCTGCTGGATCTGGGTCTGGTTCTGAGGCGGGTCCTGGGTCTTTCCTGATCCTCTCCCCAGCGTACCTACCACCTCCCCTGGGCTGTGGTCTCCAGCCCGCTCCCCAGAGCCATTGATCTGTGGTGGGGCCATGTGCTGGGAGGCCTGGCCTTGGCGGGAGGCTGTAACTGCTGCTGCGATGGCTGCTGCCTGGGCTGGTTGGAGCTTGATGCTGTTGATCTTAGTCAGAGGCCTCTCAGCACTGCCATCCCTCTGGAATCCATACTTGTTCCCTTCACGGAGGGTTCCATACTTATCCACTTCCCTAAGGGTACCATACTTATCGAGTGTCCCATACTTATCTCCATCCCTCAGGGTACCACACTTACTCCCTTCCCGTAGGGTTTTATACTTCTGTCTTTCATCAAGGGTCCCATAACGATCTGACCAATCTTTCTCAGTCATAGACGCCTGTCTCTCTACCCCTTTCTGGAGGTTGTATTTCTGTCCATCTTTCTGGAGGGTGTATCTCTCGCCTTCTTTTTGCAGTGCATATCTCTCTCCATCTTTCTGTACCAAGTACTTCTCCCCGTCTTTCTGAGGTGCGTATTTCTCCATCTGAACATCTTTCTGCACAGCATATCGTTCGCTTCCATCTTTCTGCAAGGAATACCGCTCCCCGTCTTTTTGCAGGGCGTACCTCTCTCCGTCTTTCTGCAACAGGTACCTCTCTCCGTCTCTCTGTAGCGTGTAGCTCACCCCGTCTTTCTGAAGGGAGTATCTCTCTCCGTCTTTCTGCAGGGTGTAGCGTTCCCTCTCTCTCTGGAGGGTGTTGTGTTTCTCGGGGTCTTTGTGTTTCCTGTCCCCGTCCGTGCGGTCCATGCTGCGGGTGAGGGAGGGATGGCGCGGCTCACGGTTCCTCTCGTTGTTCTGGATCTCCGGTCGAGTCAGCACCCGGTTGTGGTTCAGGATATTGTTCACCTCCTGGGGACCGCCGCGGTCCACCTTCAACTTCTCCAGTCTGGGAGAGAGTGAGAGAGAGAGGAGGGAGAGAGAGAAGAAGGATGGAGAGAGAGAGAGAAGTGAGGGAGAGAGAGTGATGGATGAGAGAAAAGGAGGGAGAGAGCGAGAGAGGGATTGGAAACGGTAAGAGAAAGGAAAAAAAGACAGAAGAATTATCAAAAGATGAAGATAAAGAACAATGTCACCAATAAGCCATTACCAGGCAAAACATATCTTCACATTCTAACAATGGACTCCTGCTGTGTGGGTGTCAGGCTTAGGGCTCTACTGCTACCCTCTCCTCTCCTCCAACCTGCCTGACTGTCTGCCTGACTGCCTGCCTGCCTGCTTGCCTGCCTGCCTAGGGGGACCAGAGAGGAGAAGAGGAAGAAAAGTGAGAGGTTTTTAAAACATCACTGTCCGCCCACAGCACTCTGAGGGCTCAGTGAGACATGGCTACTTTGACAGAGCAGCCATCCACTGCTGTTACAGAAAGGCCATTAACAGGTCTGGTAATCCAGGGGAAAATGGCTCAATTCTAGGCTAGCCGCAGTCCTTTACCGCCTACTGCACTCAGGGACAAGTCACAGTGACGGCCACTTGGGACTGCTAATCTAATGCTCAAGTACCTCTATGTATTTCTACCTGGGGTTTTCCTAGTATTTCTCAGTGAGGTAAAGGTACAGTAATGGCAGTATTTCCAATTTCTATTGCCAGACTTTGGCTCTGGAGTTCACAGACACAGTAGTTCTGTGTAATTAAAGCACGCAGTGGCCTGAGTGTGTGTTTGTGCCACACATCATCCCTTTAAGATGAGAGCAGTGCTGAAGTAACTTGTGCAGACATACAGACATACCTCCACAGCATCATACCACAATGATGAAGATAGGACTGCTGGTGTGCTGTGCTTACAGGACTGTGAAGAGTCGGTGTTACGGTCTGAGTCTCTCCAGAGTATAAATCATTGAATGCCCATGTCGATAAGCCTTCACAAACAGCTCGCAGCTAAAACTCTGCAATTACCAACAGCACTAAAGGTATTTTGTTGTATTGAGTGTGAAGTGCAGAAGCAAGAAGAACTAAGGCTTCGATTTTGTTGCCTCTGATGTGCCACATCAACAGAAGAAAGAAAGTAAGTTTGACTGGAGGCAGTGAAGATGGAAACCATTGCTGTGCTGTATAACCCTTAAGCTATAGCTTCTTGTTCCCAGCTATGCATCTTCAACACAACATCTGGTAATTGTCTTCTAAATTGATGCGATTTCTCGCTTCTGCAAGAAATACTGCAGTCACTCACGGCTGTCAGTTTGCTTACAAAACAAATGCAATCACTGTTGGTAGATTACACGGTTCAGTTGGTAGCTTAAATGCCATAGGTCAAGCAATCAAGTCTGGTTACTATAGAAGGGATTTGGGTTTGTGGGCGGTTCTCTCTGGGTCTGCCCACCTCCTGATCGGCTCTATGTGGACCATGGCTGCATCCGTCATCACTTTCATCCAGGACTCCATGTCTTTGGCCGTGTCTGTGCAGAAGTAGTATGTCCTCATGTTGGAGTGGGTCGCCTAGCAGGGAGAGAGAGAGAGAGAGAGGGTGGGAGAGAGGGAGAGTTTGTAAGACAGAGGAGTGTGAGGGGTGACCTTGGCAAGACTGCAGGGAGTGTTTACATCACCTTCTTTGGAAGAGGTGTGTGTGTGCGTGCATCTGTCTGTGTGTGTGTGCACACTGCACACGCGCCTGTGTGTCTGAGCGTGAATGTGTGTGTGCATCCCTACCACTCCAAGGCTGTGTAGCTAACTTTAATTACCTATGCTAAGGCTTGGGACCATAAATATGAGCGACAGGGAGACACTCCAAGCTGAGTACTACTCTTGTTTCCTGCTGCAGAGGCAGAGAACTGGCACTAAGGCTGTGTCCCAATTGGCACCCTATTCCCTGTATAGTGCACTACTTTCGACCGGGGCTGGTGTACTACAGTGAGGGAAAAAAGTATTTGATCCCCTGCTGATTTTGTAAGTTTGCCCACTGACAAAGAAATGATCAGTCTATAATTTTAATAGGAGGTTTATTTGAACAGTGAGAGACAGAATAACAACAAAAAAATCCAGAAAATCGCATGTCAAAAATGTTATAAATTGATTTGCATTTTAATGAGGGAAAATGGGTTGTGGATGGGTATTCCAGCATGACAATGACCCAAAACACACGGCCAAGGCAACAAAGGAGTGGCTCAAGAAGAAGCACATTACGGTCCTGGAGTGGCCTAGCCAGTCTCCAGACCTTAATCCCATAGAAAATCTGTGGAGGGAGCTGAAGGTTCGAGTTGCCAAACGTCAGGCTCGAAACTGTCACGCCCTGGGGACACTTGTATGTTGAGCCAGGGTGTGAGTTTCCTTTGGATATTCTAGTTGTTGAATTTCTATGTTGGCCAGAGTGGTTCTCAATCAGAGGCAACGAGTGTCAGCTGTTGCTGGTTGTCTCTGATTGGGAACCACATTTAGACAGGCTGTTTTCCCACAGTGGTTGTGGGATCTTGTTCCAGTGTGGTTTGAGTTAGACCGTGGACGTCACGTTATCGTTTGTTGTTTTTGTTCGTGATCATCAATTAATAAATATGTTTGCCTTCAACGCTGCGCCTTGGTCCTCTGTTCCCGACGATCGTGACAGAAACCTTAATGACTTGGAGAAGATCTGCAAAGAGGAGTGGGACAAAATCCCTCCTGAGATGTGTGCAAACCTGGTGACCAACTACAAGAAACGTCTGACCTCTGTGATTGCCAACAAGGGTTTTGCCACAAAGTACTAAGTCATGTTTTGCAGAGGGGTCAAATACTTATTTCCCTCATTAAAATGCAAAAATATGTACATGCGTTTTTCTGGATTTTTTTGTTGTTATCCTGTCTCTCACTGTTCAAATAAACCTACCATTAAAATTATAGACTGATCATGTCTTTGTCAGTGGGAAAACGTACAAAATCAGCAGGGGATCAAATACTTTTTTCCCTCACTGTATATAGGGAATAGGGTGCCATTTGGGAACGGATGGGTTTGTTACTGTGTTATAGATGGCGTCAATGTGTAGGAGTGAATCAGCGCTTACAGTGATGACTTGTGTGAAAGAGTATGTGAGGCTAACATGCTCAGAAGGTGGATATAGCATTGTGTCTCTCTTTCAGTATTTTCTCTCTGTCCATCTTGCTCCTATTGCCTACCGAGACTAGAAAATCATTTGACTTTATCATGGATCTACACATAAAGAGCTCTCCATATACAAAAGCATTTTCAGAGATTCTCTGAAAGGAAAGACCAAAAGCGAAGAGAAGTGTGTGTGTTAGTGTGTTTATACTACAAAGCAGCATAGCGCGGTGAAATAACGGAAGCCATTCACTTTCAATGGAAGGAAGCGGAGTGGGCGGGGGGACCAATCGAAGCACATCATAACTTCCTACCCATATTAGATTGTCTGACAATGGCTGTTGATACATAGCACTACAATAACTCACTACAAAAAGCAATAACTCTGCTGTGGTAGATAGTGGGAAGACGTGGTTCCGCGTAGCCTACCACTGTCACAGTCGGGTTATAGGTGCCGGTTTGGAGAAAATTTAGATTCAGACACTTTCTATACAGATATCCACACATTATACAATCCGGACCAACGGACAAGGAGTTAAGGATTATAGATTTGCCTTCAGTAACAGGATTTTCGGAAACAAGTACCCCCCTAAAAAGATTTCCCCAAGTAATTTTTCGGGCTCCGCATTGCAACCACCTAGGACGTCTACGTGCGGAAGCGCGGCGTCCTTTATAGGACTGTGTGTGTACAGTACTGACCTTGAAGGCGTATTTCCTGCTGATGTGGTCGTCGACAGACAGCATGGAGATGTGGAAGCTGGGCAGCAGGATACTACCCAGGATACCCTCCTCCTTCTCATCTACAGGACAGAGAAGAAGAATAGTCAGATATGGTTTATAATGTTGATACAGGCTTTGGAATAGTACATTATGGTCCATCTGGTGGGGGAAAGTCGGGAGAGATCAGAGGAGGGGAACTATCAGCATTCTAACAGGATAGTGGACACAGGATGTACCGGACACAGAATGCGTCAGAACTTTGTAGGCACCTTTATCTTTGGACAGGGTGTGATGGCTCGACAAGCTGCTAACAGGACACAGGATGTACCGGACACAGAATGCGTCAGAACTTTGTAGGCACCTTTATCTTTGGACAGGGTGTGATGGCTCGGCAAGCTGCTAACAGGACACAGACTGTACCGGACACAAAATGCGTCAGAACTTCGTAGGCACCTTTATCTTTGGTCTAGGTGGGCTAACTGTCTCAGATAGGATCACTTAAACTGGAGTTTATCAAAGCATGGCAGGGAGGGTTGAGCATGGCGGGACATTCACTTTATTTTTTCACTAAGAACCACCAAATCCCGGGCTTACAGCATGTTACACAGTAGGGTACCCAAAACAGACAGAAGAACAAAAACGTTTCTCCTCAGGCCGCTTTGCCAATCATCTATCATTTCACAGTCAAATTGAATCCTAACAGTGCAACTTGGTAAACAAACACACTAACTTGGGTGTGATAGCGTTCAACCGTGATACTACTGCATCAAAGACAGACAAGTAAACAATGATGGAATCAATCCCTCTACTGCTCAGAGCATTACGTACAGCTGGGTTGTAACACACCATCTGTAGAGTGCAGCATGACTGCAGCAAAACCAACAGAGCTTCAGGGTTTACTTTAAACAGGCAAGTACAGCAGAATTCCCTGCAGCACTCCATCCCTGCGTCTGCCTCTCTCTCTCTACTGCTGCTGCATTATTAACTGAGGGGAGAGGGAGAGAGACAGAGAAGATGAAATGAGAACGCAGCACCTCCTTCTTCTGAAAGCAGCACTTCCTTCTTCTTCTGAAAGCAGCTCCTCTACCCACATGTACATACTGTATTACCTCAATGACCTACTTCGTACCCCTGCATATTCACCCTATATAGCCTCATTATTGTTTTTATTGTGTTACTATTTCCTTTTTATTTAGCAAATATTTGTCTTCCTTTTTAACTGCACTGTTGGGAATGGGCTCGTAAGTAAGCATTGCACTCTCAAGTCTACTACACCTGTTGTATTCGGCGCATGTGAACAATAAGATGTGATTTGATTTGAATGGGGTTCACTAGATTCTACAAAGGAGAAGCACGGTGACCTTAACCTTTAAGCGATGTGTTGATATGTTTTGATTTGATAATTATGTGGCGACAGAGATCCTGACCAGATCAGAACCATCAGTCAATCGGACAGGGTCATTCACATTCCCCCAACACCATCTTTCATTCCTGCCTTCAGATAGACACAATTCCTAGTCAAAACCTTTCCTCTGAAAACTCATTGACAGACAGCACTTAACTTAAAATGAAGTGAGTGAAAAAGATAAGAGAGTGAGAGAGAGATAGATGTTGTTATCAGAAAGCATAGCACTTCAACACTCTTAAGAACTCTTCTCTCGTCTGTTGGTTTGCCAATACACATGAAATTCCCCTCTGGGCATGTCATGAAAGAGCTAGCTGATTGCACTCCGGGACCGTTTAATTGAACAATTTATGGAAATGAAACTCTCTGAAACCTGGGAGAATTGGGTTATGTCTACGTCTGCAGCAAATACGTTTGCACTTTACTGCTAGCACCTGGTAGATGTCCTATACTCAGACTTTGATCGTGTGTTGTGTTTTGAGTGTGTGTGTGTGTGTATGTGTCTCACCTCTGTAGTAAAACAGGCACATGTCAGACAGCACAAACCACCTCTTCTTCCATAGCTTCATCCCTGTGCTGTCCTACAGGGAAACAGAAGATAGGAGACATCAGTCAGATACTGAGACAGAGCAAAACATTTGGTAGTAGCTCTTCCTTGCCCTCTGATAAGCTAGGTGAGACTTTTGACAATTGCCATATTGCTTACATCTATTCAAGCATTTGCTATCAAATCTAGTGCATAGAGCAGTGTTCCTCAATCCTGGTCCTGGATACCTATAGGCTGCCCTTGCTTTTCATCTAGACCTACCTTGATTGGTTGAATTAGGTGCGTAAGTAGAGCTGGGCTAGAACAAAATCCTGCACACCCTGCTGTCCCTCCGGATCTGAGTGGCCAAACCCAAGACTGTCACGGAGTTCAGGAAGCAACGTACACACTCCCTCTGATCCCAGACGGTTTAATTAACCACAGCTATCTCCTCCCACTGAAGCAAATTGGCCCTCTTTATCTCTTAATAACTCCCAGACAAGTTTCCCCTTTCTGTTTTTATAGCTGTGTGTGTGTGTGTGTGCATGCTTTAGTCAGCTTTACTCTCTAGATAATGTGCTCCATACTTTTCTCTGTAACAATAATGGCTTCTCTTCCAACGTCGCCTTTCTTTTTTATTCATAACATAAATAATCTAATACTGCTTTGTTGTTTTTCTTGTCTTTATATTCAGCTTCTTTTGATGCATGAGTAGGAGTACAAAGGCATAAAAGAAAAGCCTTGCCATCTTAAATAAAATATTTATCCTTTAAGAGAAGGCTTTGGTTGTCAGGTTTGAGAAGGAGAAAAGGCAAGTCTTTCGAGAGAGAATCAATGCAGCTTTTAAAGGGGAATTTAGCATTGTAGAGAGGGAAGGAGAAAGGTTATTGACAACAGTTCAACTCTAGTTGGAAACTGAGTGATGCTATTGTTGATTGTTCTTAATGAGTGAGTGAGTGTGTGTGTGGGTGGGTGGGCGCTAGGGGATCTTAAGACACATTGACAAATTGACCCACAGCCAGAGCTTGGGGAGTGAGAGGAAATGCTAAAGTTGCACTGTACAGGTCAAAAGATAATGAGCAAAATAGCCCAGCCACCACAAGGTTGGTCGAGCTAGTCTGTAAAGTGACCTGATTAATCGAGAGAGAGAGAGAGAGAGAGAAAGAAAGAGAGAAATGTACATCCAATCAAGGATGATTGTCACTTTGCTTGAGGGACCAGGCCACCTTATCAGTAATAACTAAAACAAAGGACTCAGGCTATTTAAATGAGAATGACAAAATGATGCATCAACATTTAGATTGAATACAATTGCCAGATAACAAGAGATGAGGTCAAACTCTCCCCAAAACCAATCTGATTAAAATTCACTGTCTGGGAATACAGATTCAAAGTGAATGTGTCTCTTTCTGAATGTGAATGAGGATGAGGATGTCCCTGTTATATAGATAACTGGATAACATAACAGACGTGTGTGTGTGTGTGATGCTACACAGCTGACCGCTGCTGCTGAAGAGATCTGCATGTGTCCATTATTGCAGCTGTAATTAAACCCCTATGAGATTGTCGAGTTCCCTTTGAGTGTCTGTGTGCGTGTTTGTGTGTGTACACGTGTGTGTGCATGTGCAGGTGGCTATCCCCACAAAGCCCTGTCGCACAGACTCTCATCAACCCACTGCGGAAGGCTGTGTATGCTGCACACTTCCACCAACAACCACTCATTGCCATACACACTGCAATCAGCCATTTGATTTGCTCAGGTTCTGCTATTCTGTAGACCATTTTAAGAGTAAATTGCAATGAAGAAGTAATTTAGTCAAGTTCTTCTATACTGGGAAATACAAACGATGTACAACTTTCCAATACCTGTTTGTAAAGCCAGTTGCTCTTGACCGCCGGGGCATTGGGGTTCCTCTTAATAGAGTTGGACCTCTTGCCGAAGTTATGGACCTTTTTGGAAGACCTCGAAGGCTGAAAATGTAAATGGACAAATCGTCAGTATACTGTATGTAAAATAATTAATATACAGTGCCGTGAAAAAGTATTTGCCCCCTTTCTGATTTTCTTTATTTTTGATACTGAATGTTATCAGATCTTCAACCAAAACCTAATATTAGATAAAGGGAACTAGAGTTTACAAATAACAAAAAATTATACTCATTTTATTTATTTAGGTAACAGTTATGCAACACCCAATTCCCCTGTGTGAAAAAGTAATTGCCCCCTTACACTTAATAACTGGTTGTGCCACCTCAGCTGCAATGACTGCAAGGAAATGCTTCCTGTAGTTGTTGATCAGTCTCTCAAATCGCTGTGGAGGAATTTTTGCCCACTCTAGCATGCAGAACTTCTTTACTCAGCGACATTTGTGGGTTTTCAAGCATGAACTGCTTGTTTCAAGTCCTGCCGCAACATCTCAATTGGGATTAGGTCAGGACTTTGACTAGGCCGTTCCAAAACTTCTAATTTGTTTCTTTTTAACCATTTTTATGTAGCCTTGTTTGTGTGTTTTGGATCATTGTCTTGCTGCATGAACCAGCTGCGCTTCAGCTTCAGATCAAATAATCCCCAAACCATCACACTACCACCACCATGCTTGACCGTTGGTATAAGGTTCTTACTGTGGAATGCAGTGTTTGGTTTTCGCAGGCATAATGGGACCCATGTCGTCAAAAAGTTAGACTTTTGAGTCATCTGTCCATAGAACATTCTGCCAAGAGTCTTGATGATCTTCCAGGTGCTTTTTGGCAAACTTGAGTCAACTTTTTGGACGAGATGGGTCCCATTACGTCTGGCGAAAACCAAACACTGCATTTCACAGTAAGAACCTCATACCAACGGTCAAGCATGGTGGGGTAGTGTGATGGTTTGAGGATGCTTTGCTGCCTCAGGACCTGGAAGACTTGCCTTAATAGAAGGAACCATGAATTCTGCTCTGTATCAGAGAATTCTACAGGAGAATGTCAGGCCATCCGTCTGTGAACTGAAGCTGAAGTGCAGCTGGGTCATGCCGCAAGACAATGATCCAAAACACACAATCAAGTCTACATGAAAACGGTTAAAAAGCAACACATTTGAAGTTTTGTAATGGCTTAGTCAAATTACAGACCTAATCCCAATTGAGATGTTGTTTAAATAAATTCCACAAATTAACTTTTAAGAAGGCACACCTGTTAATTGAAATGTATTCCAGGTGACTACCTCATGAAGCTGGTTGAGAGAATGCCAAGAGTGTGCAAAGCTGTCATCAAGGCAAAGGGTGGCTATTTGAAGAATCGCAAATATAAAATATATTTGGATTTGTTTAACACTTTTTTGGTTACTACATGATTCCATATGTGTTATTTCATAGTTTTGATGTGTGTCCAAACTTTTCACTGGTACTGTATACAAATATATTTCTGAAGATGCATAATTAGAGGAGGAGAGTTACAAATTAATTCAAAATATCCTCCTCTGTCAGTAAATATAGGTGAAGACCGTTAACATGCATTTGGCTCTTCGGTGTTAATAAACAAATAAAGATAAAAAGCAACAGAAGGAAGAGGTACAGTATTCACCTCATTAAACTATCCCATTCTACAAGAACATCTTTACTGAGAGAGGGAGAGAGAGAGAGAGAGACAGATACACAGAGAGAGAGAAAGAGAGAGAGCAAGAGACTAATTTACAGCATGCTAGAATCTTCTATCCATCCCTACAGCAGCAGAGCATAGTGCTTGTCACGACTTCCACCGAGGCTGCCCCCCCCTGCTGGTTCGGGCAGGCTTCGGCGTTCGTCGTCACCGGAGTACTAGCTATTGCCGATCCCATTCTCATCACTCCACTTGTCATGTCTTGTCAATCACACAAACCTGGTGCTCATTCCCCTAATTAGTATGTGTATAAGTGTTCCCTCTGTTCCCCTTGTCTTTGTGAGTGATTGTTTGTTGTGAGAGCGTGTAGCTCGGTTGAGCTACTATTCACTGTGTTTATGCCAAGGTGGATGTTTTCCCTTGTAATAGTTTCGTTTGACGCTTTGGGCGTTTGATTTATGTAAAAGGAATAAACTCTGGACTTCTGTATTTTACCTCCTGCGCCTGACTCCTTCATTCACACCTCGTCACAGTGCTAGAGTAAGCTGGACCCACAATAGAGTTCCACAGTGTGTCATAATCCCCATAAAACCTAGCAGTCAAAAAGGGTAATGGTTCCAATCCAGATCATCATGGTATTTGTAGTTGGGGGGTTCCAGGTGAATATATTGATAAAAATCACCTTGTCCGAGAGAGATTTACATGGTTATCAAAACATCACGCCAGGGTAAGCCTACACGAATTACAACCCTTATTTTAAGTGTTTCTAAAATCCCCGATGGGGAAAAATTAATGGTGGATAAATGATTGGAACCATTTCCTGTTTGACCGCTAGATTTTCTGGGTATTATGACACCTCCACTGTGGGGCTCTATGGTAACTCATCAATAATTACAGCTCATTAATAAATACAGGCCACCACGCTATACTTTTGGTCAGTGTAAGCAGAAGTAAAAGATCATTAATTCATGAAAGCATGCATATTTATACACTGGTCTATTAAGCATTTATAAACAATAAAATCTCTTGGTGACCATTCGAGAATTGTAACTCTCTGTGATAGGGCTGGGATAATCCAGCACATATTATCTCATGTAGAGTCCCTGTTCTGATTCTCTCTGTGGACTAATACAGTTCTCACAACATTTAACTAATGGAGAAAATGGGAGAGATCCACAAGACTCCTCTTAACCTTAGACCACTGCTCCTGAGTGGCGCAGTGGTCTAAGGCACTGCATCGCAGTGCTAACTGTGCCACTAGAGATCCTGGTTCGAATCCAGGCTCTGTCGCAGCCGGCCGCGACCGGGAGACTCATGGGCGGCGCACAATTGGCCCAGCGTCGTCTAGGGTAGGGGAGGGAATGGCCGGCAGGGATGTAGCTCAGTTGATAGAGCATGGCGTTTGCAACGCCAGGGTTGTGGGTTCGATTCCCACGGGGGGCCAGTATAAAAAAAATATGTAATCACTAACTGTAAGTCGCTCTGGATAAGAGCGTCTGCTAAATGACTAAAATGTAAAAATGTAAAAATGTTAACATCCCAGAACTAGGACCTCTATCTCGCCTCTCACAGGCCCCTATTAGCCAAGTCACTATTGATACAGTACATTAATCCAACCCTGTCCTTGTACATGCACCATAATTGCATAACACCAACTTCTAATCCTCTCAGATCTATACTAGTGCTTAGGGCATGGGTCTAGTGGTCTATTTGGGGTTGGGTGTACAGGCCGACATGGAGCTCTCACCCGTGTGGCGGGGCTGCTGCCAGGGTAGGTGCTGTAGTCTGACCCTCCTGTGTAGTTAGACGCCTCGCTCATGGTGCTCATCGGGCGCTCCTTCTTCACTCCGTCACTCTCCTCTGATGGAGCCTGCTCTGGAGCCTTAGGCCTGGAAGAAAGAAAGAAAGAAAGAAAGAAAGAAAGAAAGAAAGAAAAAGAACAGAAAGAAAAGAAAGAAAAGAAAGAAAGAAAGAAGAAGAAAGAAGAAATAAAGAAAGAAGAAAGAAAGAAAAAGAATAAAGACTGAAAGAACAAACGAAGAACTAGAAAGCAATCACTAGCACATCCTCAACCAACAGAAAGCACCGCAATCCCCTACAGTCCCTACCGCCACGCCTCCCTCCCCGCCATCGCTCTCTCGCCTCTCTCCCTCGCTCTCTCACTCCCGCCCCACGCCCTCCCGTCCCTCCCTCCTTCTCTCTCTCACTCACTCCGCTCTCGCTCGTCGAGCGCGAGCACGCGCTGCGTCTGCTCCCCCTCTCTCTCTGAGCGCAAGAGCGATGAGGAGGAAATGAGAAAAACAACCAGAAGACTACACAAATGAGGCTGGGACTCAACTTCAATCTGTCGGATTAATGCGCGGGTTAAGAGGCGAAACGGTGCAGCTGTGTGTACAGTGGGGAGAACAAGTATTTGATACACTGCCGATTTTGCAGGTTTTCTTACTTACAAAGCATGTAGAGGTCTGTAATTGTTATCATAGGTACACTTCCACCGTGAGTCTAAAACAAAAATCTAGAAAATCACATTGTATGATTTTTAAGTAATTATTTTGCATTTTATTGCATGACATAAGTATTTGATCACCTACCAACCAGTAAGAATTCCGGCTCTCACAGACCTGTTAGTTTTTCTTTAAGAAGCCCTCCTGTTCTCCACTCATTACCTGTATTAACTGCACCTGTTTGAACTCATTACCTGTATAAAAGACACCTGTCCACACACTCAATCAAACAGACTCCAACCTCTCCACAATGGCCAAGACCAGAGAGCTGTGTAAGGACATCAGGGATAAAATTGTAGACCTGCACAAGGCTGGGATGGGCTACAGGACAATAGGCAAGCAGCTTGGTGAGAAGGCAACAACTGTTGGCGCAATTATTAGAAAATGGAAGAAATTCAAGATGACGGTCAATCACCCTCGGTCTGGGGCTCCATGCAAGATCTCACCTCGTGGGGCATCAATGATCATGAGGAAGGTGAGGGATCAGCCCAGAACTACACGGCAGGACCTGGTCAATGACCTGAAGAGAGCTGGGACCACAGTCTCAAAGAAAACCATTAGTAACACACTACGCCGTCATGGATTAAAATCCTGCAGCGCACGCAAGGTCCCCCTGCTCAAGCCAGTGCATGTCCAGGCCGTCTGAAGTTTGCCAATGACCATCTGGATGATCCAGAGGAGGAATGGGAGAAGGTCATGTGGTCTGATGAGACAGAAATAGAGCTTTTTGGTCTAAACTCAACTCGCCGTGTTTGGAGGAAGAAGAAGGATGAGTACAACCCCAAGAACACCATCCCAACCGTGAAGCATGGAGGTGGAAACATCATTCTTTGGGGATGCTTTTCTGCAAAGGGGACAGGACGACTGCACCGTATTGAGGGGAGGATGGATGGGGCTATGTATCGCGAGATCTTGGCCAACAACCTCCTTCCCTCAGTAAGAGCATTGAAGATGGGTCGTGGCTGGGTCTTCCAGCATGACAATGACCCGAAACACACAGCCAGGGCAACTAAGGAGTGGCTCCGTAAGAAGCATCTCAAGGTCCTGGAGTGGCCTAGCAAGTCTCCAGACCTGAACCCAATAGAATATCTTTGGAGGGAGCTGAAAGTCCGTATTGCCCAGCGACAGCCCCGAAACCTGAAGGATCTGGAGAAGGTCTGTATGGAGGAGTGGGCCAAAATCCCTGCTTTAGTGTGTGCAAACCTGGTCAAGACCTACAGGAAACGTATGATCTCTGTAATTGCAAACAAAGGTTTCTGTACCAAATATTAAGTTCTGCTTTTCTGATGTATCAAATACTTATGTCATGCAATAAAATGCAAATTAATTACTTAAAAATCATACAATGTGATTTTCTGGAATTTTGTTTTAGATTCCGTCTCTCACAGTTGAAGTGTACCTATGATAGAAATTACAGACCTCTACATGCTTTGTAAGTAGGAAAACCTGCAAAATCGGCAGTGTATCAAATACTTGTTCTCCCCACTGTATGTGTGTGTGACACTGATTGCTCTGCGAATGAGCTGCCTAACGGCCAAGCCTGTATAGCTCTATCGGTTCGGCAGTTTAAACTCCAACCACAATGAGAGTCCATCTCTGTTAGAGCCAAACCCTGCCCTTAGAGAAAGAGGAGAGAGAGAGAGAGAGAGAGAGAGAGAGAGAGAGAGAGAGAGAGAGAGAGAGAGAGAGAGAGAGAGAGAGAGAGAGGAGGCAAAAGGAGGAGAGGCAGGCCCCATAAATCAAACCAATTACTCACTGTGTCACCGCTGATATATTCCTCCAAGTCGGACCACTTTAAATCGCCTGACAACTTTGCCTGACAAACTGAACGGCCTCAAAGTGTATGTCCCAGTCTAGTGGAAGGACAATACCAAATGCAGGAAAGTTCAAGGTCCCCCAGGCTAAACTACCCAGCACCATAAAGGCTTTAACGCTTATAACAACGGCAGCAAAAAATAAGCTAAACTCACCTATAAATCTTCCTATTTGCAGAGTTGATACATCTAGAGTTGTATTCAGATCCGTTTTGTCTCTGAGCAGTGGCCTATATTCTGTGGTTCCAGGGGAATGCTGATGTTACTGTGTGGGGAAATGACAGAATCTGGAGCGTGGAGGGGGGGGGTAGAGAGAATATCTCTATCGGTCTGTCTGAGAGATAATAAAGCTGGGTTTTAGGTCACCACCTCACAGGAACAAACACCTTGTACGTGAGGGTACACCGCTGATTTCAGCTCTGGTAACAGATACGGTATGAAAATCTACTCCACCGTCTTCTCCCCTCTCCTCTCCTGCCAGCTATCATTCCCTGAAGTATGACAAATATGATCCTACATTTTCGCTTACCCCATTCCTCTCCTCTACTGTAATCTTCACCTCTCCTCTCTTCTTTTCTCCCCTCTCCAACCCTCCATATAAACAGGTCAGCCTGTATGTCCGTCACTGAGCCTGTGATATGATTGGATCATGTATATTAAGCTTGCGTGCAGGGACGTTGCAGGACTGGTCAGACAGGACAGGAGGTAATAACAGGATTGTTATGACCGGTATGTCAATGTGACATAGACATGTGAACGTAGGGGCATTGTTACTTCACAGATACACATCAGTTCAACTTAGTGTTCAAAAACACAAAGGCCAGGCCCCAAATAGGATAGCAATGACTGCTGTTCACTTACACACAATGATACATACATACTTAAAAATACACTGAGTGTTCAAAACATTACGAACACCTTCCTGATGCTGAGTTGCACCCTCTTTTGCCCTCAGAACAGCCTCAATTCGTCAGGGCATGGATTCTACAAGGTGTTGAAAGCGTTCCACAGGGATGACTCCAATGCTCTGCACAGTTGTGTCAAGTTGGCTGGATGTCCTTTGGGTGGTGGACCATTCTTGATACACACGGGAAACTGTTGAGTGTGAAAAACCCAGCAGCGTTGCAGTTCTTGACACACTCAAACCGGTGCACCTGGCACCTACTACCATACCCCGTTCTGAATGGCACACATACACAATCCATGTCTAAATTGCCTCAAGGCTTAAAAATACTTATTTTACCTGTCTCCTCCCCTTCATCTACAGTGATTGAAGTGGATTTAACAGGTGACATCAATAAAGGATCATAGCTTTCACCTGGATTCACCTGGTCAGTCTGTCATGGAAAGATATACACTCAGTGTATATCAACATTAAAAACCAATTTATAGTGAATTGCTAGATAGATATATAGACGTCATTATCTTCGAAGTGGATAATTGTCTTCACAGCCCATTTCACTGGATTAACCTCGATTGTGGCTTTAAATTCCTTTATACAACGCATGCCCGGGGTACTTCCTAAATGCTTGTCAAATTATGTTACTGTGGGCTGGTGAACCGTGCGTGACCTTCCAAGCCACATGGATTATCATGAGTTAATTCAATCATTTGGGAGAGAATGAGGGAATGAGTGATATTAACAGATATTAAATTACACTCTTCTCAGCTGAGCTTGGAAAGTCTCCAACTCCAACACTTGTCTCCAATCAGGCTTTCCAGCATTAAAGTGTGTGTATGTATGTGTGTGCGCATTTCAAGCATTTCCACGTGCGTCAGAGGCAGGCCCAGTGAATAGGTCTTTGAATTGCGGGGCAACTGACTCCTGTATGAGTGGATGCCATCAGTCCTGGTGACAACATCAATAGAACTGAAGAGTGACTCATTCAAATCATGCTTAGATCATACACTCTTTTTCCCTTTCTATAGATCTGTTTGTTCTCTTTTTCCTCCCTCTATCTCTCCCATGTCTTTCTCCCATTATCTCTCTCTCGCCGTCTGTATGGCTCCACCTTCCTCTCCTTCTCCCTCCCACACCCTCTCCATCTCTTCTGACTGTGTCAGTCTGTGAACACTGAGGATATCATTATCTGAGAGGTAATGGTAGAGCCCGTTGAGAGGAACAATTATATCATTTGATTCAGGCTTGGAGACATTTATTTTACACATTGCGCTCACACACACACACACAGACACAAGATATAGTCGTTTCGTGATGGGAGCTAAGGTAAATTTTTCTATTAAGTATGCTTAAAGACAAATCGTACGGCACAAATAAATCTTGCACATCTTGGCATTAGCAATGCATAGCAGGATATCAGGCAATCCAACACACAGCACGCACAGCCTACAGTTAATAGTAGGACAGACTTAATGAGACAGAGATATAGGCAGGACTTCCAGAGCTGGGGTTCTCCACAGAAAGACAGATGAAGAGGCTTACGCTTAATATCAAGGTAGAGCAAAGCATCCATCCAGCCCACAGCAATGTATACTATATTACCTGTTTGATACAGGGTCTGTAACCGGGTCTGTAACTGGGGTGACCGGGTCTGTAACAGGGTTGGCTGTAACAGGGTTGACTGTAACAGGGTTGACTGTTAGAGGATCTGTAACTGGGTGGACAAGCTTTGCAGAAGTCACGCTAGAAAACAAAAAGGGAAGGAAACAAAATGAACTGAATTAAATAATAATATAAAACAATATAACCTGAAATATCAAACATATGATAAACGAATTATCTGTAATCATGACATTTAACAAATAAACAATCACATCAAACTTAAATGAAATTATAATTGTAGTCTTCAGGGACATGTTTAGGCCAGACTGTACTGTAGATGCTTTTCACTGAATATCCATTGTGAAGAGAACATTACAATTGCATTAATATATGCCATTTAGCAGACACTTTTATCCAAAGCAACTTACAGTCATGCGTACATAATTTGTTTTATGTACGGGTGGACCCGGGAATCAAACCCACTATCCTGGTGTTGCAAGCACTGTGCTCTACCAACTGAGCTACAGAGGACCATTGTGGTTTTTGTCACATAAGCCCATTACCTAGCGCTAATTGACTGCCCCCCTCTAGGCTACTGGCAGCTCTGTACTGTAATTAAGGGTATGGGTTTGTTGGGAGGTCAGTCCCTTCTCCTTGCCTACTTCCTACTTCCTACCACCAGTCTCTCTCTCCCTGTGCCATATGAAGGACGCCCCCTGCATAGCACCTAGCTTTAGGGCTTCTTCCCTTGCTTGCTCACAGTTGGACGCCAGGCAGCGTTCAAATATATCATCATAATATGGTCATTTTGCAGATGCTTTTATCCAAAGCCACTTACAGTTAACACATACTGAACGTGGCCCATGAGGTTATCAAATCTAGTATTCAGGAGAATTGCACATCAGAAAGCTGACTCCCACCTAGCACCAAATACAGTTGTCCTTTCTCATTTCGTCTTGAAGCCAGACAGGTTTCATATCAACAGCTCTGATTGCAACACCATCATCGGTTTAATAGCAACCCAGGCTGCCATCTTCCTTTAGCATGCAGCATATGTGCTATGATATCAATATCAGTTTCCCTACAGAGTAAAACTAGCTGATTGTTATCCCTCAAACCTAACTGCAGTTTGGTCTAGCATTAAAATGTGGCAACGGTAAACATTCTCTGTGAATGAATGCATATTTTTCAGAGGGGGAAGATAGGGGAGAAAGAAGAGGGGGAGAAGAGAGGATGATGGACAGGGATGGAGCACGAGAAAACAAGAGGGCAGAGAAGAGGGAAGAGAGAGAAAGACGATAGGGAAGAAAGAGAACCAGGAAGTAGAAAGTGAAAAAAGGAGTGTAGAAGAATGTACCGTGCCTTCAGAAAGTTTTCATACCCCTTGACTTACTCCACATTTACAGCCAGAATAAAATATAAATACAATTGTTATTAGAAATGTTTGCTAATTTATTGAAAATGAAATACAGAAATAGCTAATTTACATAAGTATTCACCCCCCGAGTCAATACTTTGTAGAAGCACCTTTGGCAGCGATTACAGCTGTGAGTCTTTCTGAGTAAGTCTTTAAGTCTCTTTCCACTATTGGATTGTGCAACATTTGTCCATTATTCTTTTCAAAATTCTTCATGCTCTGTCAAATTAGTTTATGATCACTGCTAGACAACCATTTTCTGGTCTGGCCATAGATATTCAAGTAGATTTAAGTCAAAACTGTAACTTTGCCACTCAGGAACATTCATTGTCTTCTTGGTAAGCATCTTCAGTGTAGATTTGGCCTTGTGTTTTAGGTTATTGTCTTGCTGAAAGGTGAATTCATGTCCCAGTGACTGGTGGAACCAGGTTTTCCTTTAGGATTTTGCCTGTGCTTAGCTCCATTCCATTTCTTTTTTATTCTGAAAAACTCCCCAGTCCTTAACGATTACAAGCATACCCAAAACATGATGCAGCCACCACAATGCTTGTAAATATGAAGAGTGGTACTCAGTAATGTGGTTTATTGGATTTGCCACAAACACAACACTTTGTATTGCCGAGTGGCGCAGTGGTCTAAGGTAGTGCTAGCTGTGCCACTAGAGATCCTGGTTCGAGTCCAGGCTCTGTCGCAGACGGCCGCGACCGGGAGACCCATGGGCGGCGCACAATTGGTCCAGCGTCGTCCAAGGTAGGGGAGGGTTTGGCCGGCAGGGATGTGGGTTCGTTTCCCACGGGGGGCCAGTATGAAAAAAAAAAAAAAAAAACATGTATGCATTCACTAACTGTAAGTCGCTCTGGATAAGAGCGTCTGCTAAATGACTAAAATGTAAATGTATTTAATTATAAATGTTTTGCAGTATTACTTTAGTGCCTTGTTGCAAACAGGATGCATGTTTTGGAATATTTGTATTCTGTACAGGCTTCCTTCTTTTCACTCTGTCAATTAGGTTAATATTGTGGCGTAACTACAATGTTGTTCATCCATCCTCAGTTTTCTCCTATCACAGCCATTATAATCTGTAACTGTTTTAAAGTTAACATTGGCATCATGATGAAATCCCTGAGCGGTTCCCTTCCTCTCTGGCAACTGAGTTAGGAAGGACGCCTGTATCTTTGTAGAGAATGGGTGTATTGATACACCATTCAAGTATAATTAATAACTTCACCATGCTCAAAGGGATACTCAATGTCTGCTTTTAAAACGTTTACTAATCTACGAACAGGTGCCCTTCTTTGCGAGGCATTGGAAAACCTCCCTGGTCTTTGTAGTTGAATCTGTGTTTGAAATTCACTGCTCAACTGAGGGACCTTACATATAATTGTATGTGTGGGGTACAGAGATGAGGTAGTCATTCAAAATCATGTTACACACTATTATTGCACACAGAGTGAGTCCATGCAACTTATTATGTGACTTGTTAAGCACATTTTTACTCCTTAACATATTTAGGCATCCCATAACCAAGGGGTTGAATACTTATTGACTCAAGACATTTCAGCTTTTCATTTGTAAACATAATTTCACCTTGACATTATGGGTTATTGTGTGTAGGCCTGTGACAAAAAATCTAAATGTAATGCATTTTAAATTCAGGCTGTAACACAACAAAATGTAGAAAAGTCAAGGGGTGTGAATACTTTCTGAAGACACTGTAAATGCTGCTGTGATGGATGATGAAAGCAAGGCCTCTCCATTAGGCCCAGGGTCATTGCAGAGATGGAGGACATTTAAAATGTAATTATAAGTGCTGAATAAGTTATGTGAATAAACACGTCCATTAAAGTTGCAATATGCATAAATCGTTCCGCCATTTCCTGGTTGCTAAAACTCTAATGGTTCGCCTAATTTCAGTTTATGTGACAAAATAAGCTAGTATAGTGTAGAGAATCCTTGTACCATCTAAAACACTGTGAAATATATTTTCCATAACCAAATATATTGTTGTTTCAGCGGTTTGAAGCTGGTGTACAAAACTGAAAGTAAAAGACGCAAAAACAAAACTTAAGAACGGGAAGCATAGAAATAGGTCACATAGAACAGATCTACCGCTTCTTAGACTTGCTTTCAAGTAGAATGACAGATCTATAACTTACATTTCTATGTGAATTTGGTCGGGTCGCCCAAAAAGTGACATATTGCCACTCAAAGACTCCATTAAAGAGTGGAAGACATCAAAGTTGGGGAAAAATAGGAAACTTGAAAATATTACAATAAATATGAAAAATGGTGAAAGGGTATAAACTAAAATGTTAACTTTTGTATACTTTCTTTTGTCTGGATATTAGGCACACCCAACACTAAGTGAAATTTCTGCGATATAAAGTGGAGCTCAGTGGTTTGTGCCTGAGGTGTAAGAAGATTAAAGCAGATGTTTTTCACACTTACTAACTCATTACCAGGAGCACTGATCCTATTGAGAAAGAGATAGAAAGGGAGAGAGGGAGCGAGAGAAGAAAGTTGGAGAGAGAGGGAGTATGGGTGTGGGAGGGACAAAGGGAGAGTTGAAGCATGAGGAGGACAGTGAAAGAGGGAGAGAGGAAGGGTGAGGGAATATGGGTGAGTCGGAAAGGCAGAGAGGGACTGTGGGTGACAAGTGGAAAGAGATTGAGAGAGAGGTAGATAGGGGGAGAGAGAGGATGTGTGGGTTGAAGAGGTGTAAGCTGTTTATCAATGAGGAGTGCTTAATTCAGAACACCATTCATCCACATTACACCCTCTATTAGGTCTGTAGGGAAGGTGGAGGTGGGTGAGGGAGAGGTGACATTTATCTGAAGTAGATTACTTATTATCCCCTATTCTCTTCTAGAACGTTCCTTTTCAGAGATTTTCAAAGATTCTTATACTAGAGTTTAATAAAAGGAGTTTTGACGTGTCAATCACCAGGGAGAACGGTGATAGTGTCGACCAGGATTCAGGGACAGCAGTTCAGTTCAACGAACACACTTCTTTCAAAATGCAGTGTTGGTCATAAAGCAGAGGATGCTCTATTCATTTTATCTCCTTCTATATACAGTATATGATTTATTACATCCCCTTATATTTATTGCTGCATTAGTCTCTCATATCCACTGTTATTTTACTATTGTTTTTACAATTGTATTTTATCTCTGAATTTTATTCAAGTCCATCTTGATTTTATATTTGCATAAAAACGTTTCATGTGTTATCTTTTCTCACCTTTTTTATATTTTATTAGTTTGATTGATTGATTGATAATACAGCCTTGAGACACACAGAGAGAGACTGAGTGACAAGGCTAGCCAATTAACATTGCTTTGTTATCTGCTCACGGCCGACGCTCGCTGGATAATCAGGATGTGAAGCTGTGTTTTTCCACTGGGAAGAACGAACACATCATTTGCTTTCTGTTGTTTGAAGTATTCTGTTCTGTCGTTCTCACAACATGCAAGGAGTTGAATAGAAAGTGGGTCTTTATTATGAAAAACCAACCCATTCCGGCAGTCGAGGCTTGGTCAGTCCAAGGACCCTAATGAAGGCGTTGGTGTCGAGTTGGTGTTTGAGATGAAAGAAACACTTTATACAAGTTAAATTTCCTTGATATGATGTAAGAGCATATTTTCAATTTTCATTCTCGTGATCGGAGGTGACCCTCTTTGACACAAACCTTTTTGTCTGTCATCAACACACCTCAATCTGTTATATTTGACTTTCTCACCTCAGTTCCAATTAACAGTCAACACACTGAGGAGAATATTTGCATACCATCCTCAGACACCTCAGTGCGGTGCTAATAGAAAACAGCAGACCTGGGTTCAAATAGTTGTTTAAATTATTTCAAATACTTTAGATGGGCTTGATTACGCTTGACTTCCGAAATGGAACCAATGGAATACTCACAAAAGTCCAAACCATTCCCACCTGGCACTCCAGCTAGGCTAAAGCAAACGCTAAAACATTTGAAAGATTTCAAACGGTATTTGAATCCAGGTGTGAGGAGGAGAGTGTGACGGAGGGGATAATTGGGACAGGGTGCAGAGCAGAGTGGAGGGGGGTTGTCACTCAACAGCACAGCCAGGAAGGAAGCAACAGACTACAAATCTCCACAACACTTAACGTTCCATCCAGACTCAAAGAAAAATAGGATTCAAAATGAGTCATGACTGCATCTGAGATGGACCATATAATTGCCTAATTTCCTTGTTTTTGAGGTAAAGTGAGGAAATGGCTGCCAAGTTTTAGCAATTTCTCAATCTCTCTCTCTGTCGCTCAGTAGCTCTCTCTGTCTTTCAGTAGCTGTCTCTGTCTCTCAGTATCTCTCTCTGTCTCTCAGTATCTCTCTCCGTCTCTCAGTATCTCTCTCTGTCTCTCAGTATCTCTCTCTGTCTCTCAGTATCTCTCTCTGTCTCTCAGTATCTCTCTCCGTCTCTCAGTATCTCTCTCTGTCTCTCAGTATCGTCCCTCTCTCTCCGTCCCTCTCTCTCCGTCCCTCTTCATTCTCCACTATCACTACGGTGGTGGTTGGTCTTACAAAACCAATATTTTGTCAATATTGTTTTAGTACTACCAAATTGTATATTGTACAGACTCTGGTTAGCTACCTAGCAGCTACCTAAGACGTAGCTGTCTGCAGGTCTGTTCATAACTAGTCACTGCAGGCTGGAGGTGGCCACACACACAGCAACCGGTATTGACTTTGCTGGAGGACAGCTTGCAGGGGAAGAAGAGAGAGGAGGGTGTGTTGGGTAACACTGTCTGTTCAGGTTGAGGATGTCTGGACAGCTCTGACAGGCCTCGCTGAGCCTGAACTCAGAGATGTAAACACACACAAAGACCGACCTCTCTACTCCTCCTCCCTCGCTTCTCCTTCCTCCATCCTCTCTCTACCGTTGGTGTTTTGGAACGTGATTGGAGAAGTAGCAACGCAACCTTCCATTTCCAAATCCTCTCCAAGTGTTCTGTAGTTGAGCCACGGCACAGTTGAACCAAACACACTCACGTTTTCCTTCAGATTAAGTTGAGCCACAGAAAAGGGAAGGTTAATGGTGAAGTAGCAACGCTGCCTTCCATTTCAAAAGTCTCTGGTCTCGCTGAACTACAAGCAGTTAAACCCAAACCAAACTCATATTTCCCTGTGATTTCTTAAATGGCTCTTTAAAAGAAGGGAGACAGAGGCATAGTTTCTTCATCTTATGAAGGGTGCTTTGTGTGAAGCGGAGGTCTGGCATTCTGGATCAGACATCACAAGACTCTTCAATGCCTCCAGGAGTACAATACACTTTCTATTAAATAAAAGCCACTCTTCTCACAGCGTCTCAGTTAATTTACAATGGCATAAAAGCTCAAACTATGAATATATGCCATTGTGAATACATGCTCAACTACTGTATGAATACATCACATTTATGTAAACACCACATAACCAATTTACTACAGAATGTAATACGTAATATACTGTGACATGATCTGACAGTAATGTGGACCCTGAAGCATTACTGTAGGACAAAGCTGTGTGTTTTATAAGTTTCATATGAACGTGATTTGTTAAAAACGTCCCTGTATTTCCACTCATACTTTGACATACATCTTGTGCCATAAAGAATGGACACGATGCAGGGGTGAGACCAACACAACATTATAGGTTAATGTGTATGCATATAAGTCCAGCTGTGGGTATGTCATTCCACTGGCAAGAGACTTACTGTTCGTTGACGACAAAGATGCAGTTGTCTTGTGAAGGAAGACCAGAGACTGGATGCTTACAGGTCACCTTCCGCTCATTGTGACTGGAGAGAGAGAAGGAGAAAGAAAGAGAGAGAGGGGGAGACAGGGAGAGAAAGGGATAAAGAGAGGGGAGGAGAGAGAGAGAGAGAGAGAGAGAGAGCACTTTAGACCACCAAAATCATACATATAAACTGAATTAATAACAGCATTGTTAACATCTTCCTCCACACAATACTAACCATATTACCCCTTGTCAACCAGCCAATTGAGGAGCAGAAAGAAGATGAGGGTTAGTGTCCCTCTCCACACTACACAATGTCCTGTTGAATAACAACAAACAGCAGACACAATGCCTACACACCTTGAGTGGGGGGTGGTGCTGAACTTCAGCATGGCAGCCTGTCTGTTATCTGACCTGGGTCAAACACTGTTCTATACAGCACCATCTAACATAGTTCTTCCACTGACACTATCCTCTCTTCTCTCTCGTGAGGAACAGTAATCCAGCCCAGCCCAGCCATGGGTCTTCAACACTGCTGTAGAATACAAATGATCTACCCTCCCTAGAAGCCCCTAACTGCTCCAGTCATATGCCCAAGATCACAAGAGCACAGCTAACAGGCTGTTTCACAGCAAGTGGTGACTTATCTATAAATACAATTACAGCACTGCAGCCAGTCAGACAGAGAGAAAGAGAGACCTCTGTAGCCGGCCCTCTGTAAGACACAAGCAGCTTTTCACACAGAGTGGAGGGAGGGAGGCAGGGGAATGCTTAATGCTGATAAAGACTAGAGATAACAGAGCTCTCTTTTCTGCTCACACACAAAGATGCATGCATACACGCACACACACACACACACACTGATGGTAGGATGACAGACTGTACAGACAGAAAATATGTCGGATGGATTAACCGAGAGGGTCATGAGACATTGTACACACAGCACAACCATGGTGAACGCATAACAGCACTGTAGGCTTAACTGGACATGGATGGATATCTGAAAGAGAGAGTGTACTGCATGATTATCAATTGATTCACTCTGGGAGGTAGCAGTGTGGGCACGGACCCACACACACACTGCATGATGCCACGGACCCACACACACACACAGTATATGATATCCCTGCAGGCGTACCGAGTGTCTCAGCTGGGCTGTAGTTAGCTAGGCTTGTGGCTGAAACACCTGTTTTCATCTGTCACTTGCTAAAATACCACTGCCACACACACTGGCATTCTCCACAGCTGTAGGGCTTGCTGTATATCTTGTGCAATACAACACACTTCAGTTAACTCAACACTGGAGGAGGAGGAGGAGGAGGATAGTCTGGCCTGCAGGAGTCACAGATGGAGATGGAACACTCCTCTCTCTCTCTATGGATCTGTATCCTACTAAGGCCATGCCAGGGGGTCTGCTGGGCTAATCTACCCAGTGAAGCAGCAGTGTTCCTGGGCTTGGTCTCTGGACTGTGGCCCTGCTGGAGATGTTCCAGTCCTGACATCCAGGACACAGTCACAGCTGAGCCACAGAGACATGTAGCCTGTACTGTCTATTATTAACTGTCCTCCATGTCTCCCATCTGTCACATAGAATCACAAAGCACAATCACTCAAAGCAACTACATGACGGGATCTGCTTTTATTCATGACTTCCTGGAGATTACCCAAGTGTGTGTGCGTGTCAAGGCTGCGGAGACACCATCAGGGGGTCTCAGAAGTGGTTCCACTTGGCCTTCTTTCACGCCGCGAGTAACAAGAAATCAAGATGGCAAGGTGGAAAATGATCAACAAAACTCAATGAAAGTGTACTTTCTCTTTGGTTCGACATGAAAGTGGTGGGATGACAATGAACATCAGTCACGAGAATCGAGCGACTGCATCCTCCATTGATCTCCAGTATCAGAGAGCAACATCCATTTCCACTGGTTAAAAGGAAAAGTAATAACGTCTTTCTAGCCTCTGAGGACAACTTATACACACTCACTGTCAGACTCAGTCATGCTAAAAGTAATAACATATCATGAAATTACAACCTGGGGCTTGTCAATAAAGCAGCAACAGACTTCACAGCCTCTGAGCCAAAACCTTAAAAAATTATACTATCTCAGATTTTATGCACCACTTTCCCTCCCAGATACACTGATGTTATTATGTGTAAGGTGGGGCAAGCCTTGCCATAACTAGAATGACAGCTGGAGCAGCTTGTTGCACACCACACTACTTAGAGGAGACAGAGGAGGCTGAGGCAGAGAGAGATGACGGTCACCTTGAATTACATCCATTACATAAGTCTGAAGAGTACCTTTGTGTCCTCTTCATCGAGGCATCACATAACTGATTATCAACAGTGGCTGTACGTTTTACTCATTTTCTGACGATTGCAAGGTGAAACAATAAAAGGGTATGAAGTATTGAATTCTATTGAAATCTATTGAATAGCTTTTCTGTTACCCCCCCCCCAGAAAGAAGATGATCTATTTTCTTTAACATGTAAGAAACGTTGCCTATATGCAGCCAAAACAGAAAAATAAATGCGGTCAGAGACCTACTTGAGCAGCACCACCCCCAAAGATTCTGAGCCTGTCTGGCAGGGTTGGTCCTACAAAGCCAGAGCCCCCTGATGGGAGAGCATAATATACAAGGAAATTCTCAAAAATGCTAATGAGAACCTTGACGACCTTGTACCTAGCCGGTGGGGATTCCGGTGGGGTACCCCCACCCAGGTAGTGGCAGTGCTGGCAACACTGGCTGCAGTAACCAATGGGAGGGGGTCACACTCGGACAATCAGAGAGGGGGCTTATCATTGTGGCACAGGTGGCACAAAATAATCAAATGTCTGACTGCATGCTTGGGAAAAATGGTTACAACGGGGGACCAGAGTGTTTGTGTCTCAGGTGAAGAGGGTGGATCTGATCGCCATCACCTAGGACTTGACATAGATTAAATAAATTAATCAAATCTCACATTGTTATCAATTTTTGCTCAATCTTGCATGCTTTCTCAAACAGCTGTAACTGTATATGCATTCGTATATGCATTCGTAAATCAGGTCCTTTCTTGAGTTGGGCTCTGGGATGTAACAACCATCTGATTTTATGGTTGATTGTGGAGGAAATGGGTTGAGTGTGTTAGAGTATGTGAGTATGTGCGTGTGTGTTTATCCCACATCTGTTGCAAGGGGGTAAGGATGTTAGGGAGAATATAGGATGAACCACAATAATTGTTTGCTAAAATAATAATCGCTTGTCAAAAATGTAATGTAATACAATGGCAATCCGGCTTATATGTTAAAATCCTACGCATGAACTGCCGACATTATTACGCATATTAATTGATAATGATGGAAAATAAGATATGCAAGATATTTGAATAGATATATATTTTTAAATAGCTATATATTGAGGTGAGAGCATTGGAAATGCTTTTGGCGGTTAACCTGCTTCTGTTTTGTGGGTGGCACTGTGTGCTGTTTTCGATGGATGGGTCCTGGCCTCTCGGGGGCCTAGGGATCCGGAGGGACGGGGGTGGTATGCCGATCACTGGGATGACGGCCCAACTTGGGATGGGGAGGGGCTTTAGCGGGAGAATTAGTGGAGAACAATTGGAGGGTTACTTAGTAGCAATGCAAATATCATGGTACAGCTATATGGACACTCAATCACTATGGTATTTTTTATTGGTAAATTTACAAGCATATATAATGATAAATAGATTTCAAACTTGTATCACATTATGGTATATGGTGAAATAAGTATAGGCAGTTATAATTGTAATGGCTTAGCTGATAATAACAAAAGAAGAACAATATTTACATGGCTCAAAGAGAAGGAATATAATATCTATTGTTTACAGGAAACTCATTCAACAATTCTAGATGAAGTTGCGTGGAAAAAGGAATGGGGGGGGGGGGGGGGGGGGGCAAATATACTTCTCCCATGGGCAAAGAAACTCAAAAGGGGTGATGATATTAATTAACAGTAATTTCAATCCGAATGTGCAAATTGTCCAAAGAGATAACCAAGGTAGATGGATTATTTTAAATATGTTATTGGACAATAAACAGATAAGGCTCATTAACCTTTACGGACCAAATAATGATGATCCACACTTCTTTGACAATATATATAATAAATTATCAACCCTGCAAGCAATTCAAGACTCTATTATTATAGTGGGAGATTATAATACCGTTTTAAATAGCTCAATGGACCATAAAGGAAATCACACTACAAACAATCACCCTCAGAGGAATTTAAAACTCTTTTTTTCCGACATAACATAGGTACAGCAAATCCCCTTATTGTATGGGACACCTTTAAATGTGCCTTCAGAGGCCATGCAATTCAGTACTCATCTCGAAAGCAAAAGCAATTTAGGTCTAACAGAACAGATAGATAGCAATAAAAACTGTAACATAGAGGCTCAGAATAAATTAGAGGAAAAACAAAAAGAAATGGAGAAACTTATTCAAGAAAGATCAAGTGTAATATATTATAAAAATGAAGCAAGCTGGATGGAATATGGGGAAAAATGCACCAAATTATTTTTTTATCTTCAACATAGGAATGCTACCAAAATTAATTTACTGAAACTGGTTACAAATGACGGAGTCACCCATGATTCACCAAATGATATTTTTAAGGAGGAAACAAAGTACTTTTTTTCTATTTTTTTTCTATTGATAATGTAAAATTAACAGCCATACAGAAAGACTCATGTGAAGGTGAGATTACAGAGGAGGAACTTCTGTATGCAAGTAAAGACTTTAAATCTGGGAAAAATCCAGGGTTGGATGGCATACCAGTGGAGGTATACCAAACCTTTTTTGATATACTCAGAGGATTGTTATTAGCATGTTTTAACCACTCCTATGTAAATTGTAGATTATCAGACACTCAAGAAGAAGGTCTGATTTCATTATTACTGAAACAGGATACAAGTGGAAAATATAAATTTACAGTCCCTTTAAAAAACACTTCAGTGTTGTGATGCAAAAATCCTAGCAAAATGTATAGCACATATAATTAAAAAGGTATTGTCGGACATTATTCATTCTAATCAGACAGGTTTTTTTTACATGGAAGATACATTGGAGATAATATAAGGCAAGTACTGGAAACAATAGAACACTATGAAAAATCTAGGAAACCAGGCCTGCTATTCATAGCAGACTTCGAAAATGTCACGATCGTCTAAGGAGGAGGACCAAGGCGCAGCGTTGAGGGTGAACATATTTATTTAGAGAATGATCACACGATCAAAACAACAGACGATAACGTGACGTCTACGGTTTAACACAAACCAAATAAGAACAAGAAACCACAAAGAATGAAAGCCTAATGGCTACCTAAGTATGACTCCCAATCAGAGACAACGAGCTACAGCCGTCTC